ATGCAGCTGCCAGGCAGCGACCCATGGCCACCGCCAAGACCCCCAAGGGGCCCTACTCACAACCGCCAGTAGTCCACCCCCCGAGGCAACCCAAGCCTCTCCAGAGTGGTGCAGCAGCCCACCAGTCCCAGACACCCCCAGTGAACCCACCTCCAGATACTCCAAATGTCCGGATACTCCAAACTCAGACCCTCCACCCCATCACCCACATCATCCTGCAGGACAATATCAATGATACCCCATCATCACTATGTGATGGAACCAATTGAAGGAGCCCAGAGAGACTGATTTGAAGTGGAAGCAGAGGCTGTATCAAGTGTAATGTGATCTAACAAAACCCACCTCTTCACAAAGGCTTTTACCACATAGTTTTAATACATTGTTTGAAATCAATCAATCAATCAATCAATCAAAACTTTATTAATCCCAGAGGGAAATTAGAGTTTCGGTACACACAATTCAGAGATCAGACATACAGTACATGGGCAAGACACATGACAAGAATTAGGGACTGTGGTCCTTCGCCACATGAGTCGCGCTACCTTAATACTTAGTACTGGGGGGGGGGGGGGGGTCCTGTTTCCGCAGCGGGAGCAGACCTGTATGGCGCTCAGCCATCTGTAGCCACAGGTGGGAGGGAGATCTTGGGAGGAGCGCAGAGCACATTGATTCCTGCAGGCTGATGACCTTGCTAGGCAGAAGTCCCCAATCCGAAGGCGCGGGGGGAGGGGGGGGGGGGGTCACAGCATCTGTCTGCATTCCTTCCTTCGTGGGGGTTGTTGTTAGCAGCTTGAAGGCTGCCTTGGCGTCAGATTTGGATAACAAGACTTTGTTTGGGTCGGGCAGAGATAATTTTCCTCTCTGCCTTCAGTCTGTAACCGATTATTCAAGTCCTCCAGTGAAGCCAATTTAGGGTTTAAACATCTCCACGCCGTCCGGTGACCCTCTTCGAGATGACATCCATTTTGCGCACTAATACCGGTAACGCAGCTAGGACATTGTCCAGCTTACGGTTCACCTCGAGTAACGTCCCAGTCTGTGAGGCATCCGCTCAGGCGGTGCTTTCCGTGGGTGCGGGTCGCCCTCCAATCGCTCCCGTCTTCCCAAATTTCCAGAAAACCAGATATCCTCCCACTCCAATCAGAAGAAATCCAGTGATCATCAGGCCAAATATCCACATATCTTCGACATTCTCAATGGACAACTGAGAGAGGCATACGATCCTCCATACTTTCCAGGAATTGAGCGCATATCCCGCTGCGTGTGTCCCTTGAGGGCAAGTGGGAGCCCCTTCCTCCGTTCTCATCGTAGAAAAAATCTTATCAATCGCGTTGAATGACCAGTTAATTAAGTCCATTTCCAAAAAATAGGGATTTCCAATTTTAGCATCCTAGTGTTTTTACATATTTCTGTACTGTTTATCTTGTTTTATTATTTTTCCCCATTGTTGTAAAGTGTCCTTGGGTGTCATGAAAGGCACTGTTAAATAAAATGTATTATTATTATTATTAGCAAAAGATTTCTATACTGGTTAATGCAAAGAGTATCTCTATTTTTCCAATTCATGAGGATAGTTTTCTTAGCGATGCATATGGCAGTCAGAACCACGTGAACCAAAGATGTTTAAATCGGGACATCGTCCAGGTTTAGAGGGGGAAGTTGGGATATGATATTTCAGACACTTTGACAGGTCTTCACATACTCTACCCAAAAATTCCTGGACAGGTGGACAGGACCACAGTGCGTGGATGTAATTGTCAGGAATGTTGCTTGTGCAGTGTGTACAGGTGTCAGATGACACAAACCCCATCCTGATGCAACGTTCAACAATGGTCAGTTTGGGTACTGTTTGACCATTCAACATCTGGTCAAAAAGGATACACGAGACTGCACGTGATCCCTTTAAATCCGCCTGCCTTCCTCACACCAGCTGGAGCTCAGAGCCTGCAGCTCTGACAGAGATAACGAAATCATAACATCGACATCCTGTTCTTTCTAATGTCCCTCACAGAGCACCCTTTTTATCTAAGTCTCCTTGCTCACAGAAGAACAGAAGAAAGAAGATTTTTAAAATGAAATATGAACTTTTAAAATTTACAAGCTGGATAATCATTAAATACACGTTTGTTTATTGCTACTTACAATAATTATAAAATAATGAAATGTTCATTAATCTGTGCTCAATGATATATGTTTCAGCATGTTTACTTGACAAGGTCATAACATTTGCACTCACACAAGAACAAAGTAAGGTAAAGTTAAATTCATGACACATAATTAGCCTTTGCCCCAGATCAGAGCCTCCGGATCAAAGAAGGCGTGTTTCTGAGATTCTTGGTAATATCCTCAAACTTGTCAACCTCTGGTTGGCTACACAATCATAACATGAGGACATTAAAACCAGATCACTCTGGTGATTCTTCAGTTCTAGAGAAGCTTCAGGCCGGCCACCTGAAGCAAACACCTCTTTAACCCACCAAAGCTTTTGACACGTCATCAAAACCTTTTTGCACCCGCGAAGCTGATATAACAAAACAGTTCCTGCAGAACAACCTGATTTGTTCAACTCCTTAACAGTTATTCCTGAGACGCAGACTATTTCTTACTGTCGTTACCTGGAGATGACTCTGGACTGACCTGGTCGTAATGCAAGTTAATCTACGGACTTCGGTGCTTGGGGTCTCCGACCCCCCCCCCCCCCCCCCCCTCGACATCTCGGATCCGAAAAGGGCGTCTCCACCTGAGTACGTAGAACACAGTGAGATTGTGTCTGTATGTGGTTTTGATAGCAATCAACCTTATAGCTTAACGCAAACCAAACTCTTTTACATCCAGAACGCAGCTCTCCTAGATACGGAAGTTCTGAACATCTCATTCACACATAGGTATACATCACTAGTTCCATCCATCACAGTAAATGCTTAGTTAAACTGTCATGTTTTAATTGTTTGAAAATAAATTCTTACTTTTATAAACCTGACCGTTTTCTGAATTAAAACAAAGCATGTACAATCCCCTAATAAATAAAGAATCCTAGAATCTTCTGATTAAAGCACAATAAAGACCAGGCAGGCTGATATATTCAGATAGAGTATCCCAGCTTATTGGTCATAAGTAGAGGTAATATATATTGAGCTCTTAAAGTATTCAATTTACCAAACCCTACACTGAACATCCAATGACCTGTATAGTGTACTCTGTGTAGGATTTTGTTCTGAAATAATTGTAAATTGGGGTGTCTGATCATTTTAAAAGTTTTTGAACAAGCTTGGGACCAGAAGTTCTGGTCATAGCTGACTGATAGATTCACCTCCCATTTTTCAATAGGGATTGCTATTCTATTGTGTATTTTGGACAGTGTCTTATATACTTTAGACAGTAGTATGGGGGTTTGAGATTATAAAAGTCTAATACCCTTGGTGGTGTTTGTAATTCTACTTTATTGAGCTTAAGTTTTTGTTTAACTACAAATTTAATTTGGTGTCACAAGTTTTAAAACTGAGGTCAGATTAGGGCAAGGCCATATGGCCTAAAATCAAGCACAACATTTTGAGGATTTCACTTCGATAACGATAAATGGACGATAACTACAGGTATGCGCAGAAACAATAGTTGTCCACTAGATGGGGCTGTCACATGTATTACGGTGGTGCGTACAGTTTTTAAAGAGACATGAACATTGCCAACCACACACATCTTTTAATTTTTTAATATCAACTTTATTGACATGGGGAAAATTATCTCGATAAGAGGCAGAAATTCGATAACAACACATTTTCTATTTATTGCCCAGCCCTAGCTCAGAGTCAACAGCACAAAATGTGAATAATTTAAATTATGTTAATTTTCAGTTGTTTTAATTTAGTTCAGCGATTTGTGTCTATTAAGCTTACTCTAAATAACACTTCCCAATCTGTCTACAGCTGTCAGAATTGAGGAATGTAACCTTTCCAACTCTAAAAAATAGTGTGTAAATTAGATCAGTGTTTCACATCTAACATGGTAAAGGATCATTGTATTGCGGTCGCAAAAGGAGCATGGCATGACAAACTGCTGAACATGTTTTCCTTTCTGTACATTTTTATTCCCATATTTAAAAAAATCTCTTAACTTACATGATTTATATTTTTGAGAAATACTCTCAAGGTCAAACATGATGTTCCCCATCTGCAACACATTTGATCAAGTTGGAGAAAAAAGTGTGATTTAGTCCAGAAATCACCTCTTCAGACACGCTGAGGGACCTTTTCAAATAATTCAGAGATCAAGTGTGATGGGCCATCACACTTGATGGCTGGCTGCCTCATAGGCTGTGTCTCAATTCAGGGTCTGCATCCTTCGAAGGACCCAGCCCACCCGGCCGACGTGGGCTGCGTCCTCCGTCGGCCGGGTAGACCGGATGTTAACGGCTGTGAATTTGGACAGGCCTAGCCTTCATGAACTCCCTCGGCGAACGTTCCGTCGCCTAGCAACCGTGGAACCGCTGGGCAGAAGGGAGAAGGAACTTTAAACGATGGAGCTCGACGTTTTATTTAGCTTTTTAACCCCCAGAAACCCAAATTTAGAAAACAACTGCAAAATATTTTTTTAACCTTTCACATGTTCTAGGAGGCCAGATAAACGGGCCTATTTACACATTTTAACAGCCAATAGTGTTGCAGAACTGAACAATAGGACCTATTAGCAATGTAAATGTGGTTTTAAAAAGAAAAAAAAATGGGGAAGGTTTATTCTTGTAGACTTAAATCTGATGTTGTAATATTACAACCGTGGGTCTCTGGGGGTTAATCATTTCCTTGACTGTTGGAGAGCTAATTCAGAGAAAATACTTTAGACTAGCTGAGCCTGAGCAAAGATGTGATAATAGTTTTTAATACTTTCTAAGGGTCTTAATTTGACCAAAACCGATTTATCACCTTTTAAGACTTTTCAAGACCCAGCGGATACCTTCTAGTAAACAATTCTCATTTGTAAACAAAAATAAAATTCAAGAGTTTAATGCAGAACTGATTTTATTTAGATATTTCTTTTACATGTACATGTTTAATCTTCCTTAACCATTTTTTTCTAGCAAAGTAAAAAGCTGTCAAAGTTCTTCCTTCTCTCCTGGGCTCCTGCTGCTCTGCCTCCCTCTGCAGCCTCATGTCCTCCCAGATCAGCTCCAGAAGCTCATCGCTGGCACCTTCCCCTGGATGCCCATTTTCTCCAGAATAGTCTTAACAAACATGTAAGAAAAGAAACAGGAAGAGAAAAGAGGACAACGGGTTATTCCTTTCATGTTTTCGCAGAAAAAAAATAAACTCAAACGAGTTTTTAAAATATGAGATGTTATTGTACCTCCATGCCACAGCCGCCGAATACTTTGCTCCGGTGATCATGTGGTCCATCTCCGTCCTAAGCTTAATAAATTCCCTGGTTTTCTCTTTTGTTCCTAAAATACAAACTTCTATTAAAATCAGGGGGAAACGTAGCGGGAGAAGTACGACACCGAGCGCGGCCGAACATACGAGCCGAGACCGCAATACAAGCACTTTTACTGTAACATTTCTAACTAAAATAACGTTCATGTATCACAAAAAGTCCTTAAACTGACAGTTTTCAAGTTTATACTTACATGTATATGCGCAATCCTCTCCGACAGCTCCCGCTTCACTGTCCGCCATTGTTTTTAAGTTTTTCTGCCGGCCGGCCCGCAAGGCATCTTGGGAAATGCTACCTATTGAAGGATACACACGACCCATCCTTCATTCAGGCGAAAAGAAGGCCGCATTCGTCGACCGCATTTGAAGGAGTCTTCGAATTGGGACAGGCCGAGTCGCGGCGCTGTGACGTAACCGGCCGACGAATCCGGCCGAGGTAGGATGCAGACCCTGAATTGAGACACAGCCATAGTGTGAATGATATTCCAGAAGTGGCAGGAAGTTCCTGGGGTTTCTCATTTGGGGTGTTTATCTTCACTACAGCGACCCCTACTGGATGACATATGTCATTCATTAGCTTTGTGAGTCTGCCATGGACATTAATGCAGAATTTTTAATTTAATGTTACAGAAATATAGTAGATTAAAATAGCTGTTGTAAAAATATAATAATTACTGATGATACTATTAGAAATTATTGATTTTTTAAATCAATTTAAATAAACTCCAGAAACAATAGTGATTCCTAAACTATCTAATATTACCATTACAGTTAAAATATAGTTAATAAAAATAGATTTGCTGGTGAATATGAGAAGGTGAGGTTGCTGATGTTATTGTGCATAACTCACTAGCATGAACACATCCATGTTTATAATCGTTTTGACAAATTATGTTCCACACTTTAGGTTTTATTTAAAAAAACAAAAAAGATTACCAGATACAATGGGATCATCTTTTTTGGAACATGAGACGTTGGACTGAAGCTATTAGATGTTGTAAACAACAGTAGATGTAATATATTATGATACATATTTTTTGTTGTTAATTTAATCAGAATTCAGCTGTAATGACCAGAAGAGAATCTAGAGGTCCCTGACGAACCATTTTAAAGCTTATAACATGTCTTCAGCCCCACACAGTGAAACTTCAACCCTTCAGCTTTCTTATTCTCACATCAAAAACGAAGGGCATGCTGCAACAGCTCGTCTCTGATCTGATTTTCTACTTCTTCGTTCTTCCACACGACTAAGACCTCTTCCCGAAAACCACTCTGGGTCCCGTCCTGGTGCTGCTGGGTTCTGTGGAGATGATCCAGATGACTGGAGCTTTCATAAAGTCCCTGTCGATCATCTTGTTCTCCTCTGCTCGAGCCATTGCCTCCAGTTCAGGGGAGGTTTCAGGAGACCAGTCAGCCATAAACTTGTCTTTTGCCTCGCAGTAGTTGACCACAGCTTCCTCTGGCTGCCCCCCTAGCAACCAGTCTGGAAAACAGAGACTGTGGAAGCTGTAATGTCTCTAAACACAAACAATTTCTCAGCATTTTTTAGATTGATCACTCCGATTTTAGTATAACAAACCTGCAAAATCATGGATGAGGTCTTTAATGAGGTGGCCAATGATGGCATACAGAACAGACACCACAATGAAGACAGCAAAGAGCAGGTAGATGACGTAGGTGGGCAGGTGGATTGAGTCCCGAGAAGGTGGAACATAAGATTCATAGAGCACGGTGCCATCTTCATCCTTGTAACGAGTTTTCAAGCTCTCCAATGGTACATCCATAGCTGTGTGAGTCTGCACTGTCGCTCCGTGAGTCCACCTAATATCTCAGTTGCTCCTCTGCAATAAGGTATCAGCTTAAGAATTGAATCTGATGAAGCCTTTTATGTGAGCCAATGCAGAAATGAGACTAGATGGTTATCTGTAAAGTTTAGAACAACAGATCTTCTAATGCATCAGGCTTTCTATGATTAAGGACTTCATGCAAATCAGTCAAAATAAGATCTCACCTTTAGAAAGTCTTCATTTTGTTTCTCTGCACAAACGTGGCTGCATGCCTGTGTGTGAAGCTGCACACATGAGAATGAGATCAGCTGCTGCAGCTCCACGTAGTCTGCTCACGGTCTGCAGGAGCTCAGTCCATCCATCCATCCATCCATCCATCCATCCATCCATTCCTCTATCCCTGTGCTATAACTGATACGGTAATCCTGGACCTTTATTATTCAGGTCACCCCCTGACTCATGCAGGTATTAGAACAAGGTCAGACGGATTATTGAAAGCACACAAGACACAACAACACATTTGTATTATTAGGTTGTTTACTGGAACGTAGCTTATGGTTTACCTCCAGAATGAGGAAAGTGATGCACACTTTTGTAAAGCAACATGTGATAAAACAGAGTACGTGCATGACTCATGGCTATTGTCAATTTTGCAAATTTGCAACATTTTTCATCTTCTTTCCAGGACAAATGTATTGGTTGAACATGAAATTTAGATGTCACATCAGTTCTGTTTTATATCATAAAATATGAGTTTACATCAAACTTACTGCATCATAATACTGCATCTAATTAAAACAGGCTTGCTAATTAGATTAGGTTTGTTTTGCAGTGGCCACAAACTACAACTATACATGTTTTTGCATGAAATAAAGAAGCTCTAGGTTGCAACACTACTGCAAAGACCTGCTGCAGAAGTGGCTGTGCTACTGCTGCAATGAAAACTCAAAGGGAGGTGACAAAGGGGCCGGCGAAGGTCACGCTATGAGTAGACATCCTTTTTTCTCCAGGGTACGATGAAGCGATGGCACTTCTCAGTGGAGGAGGAGGAGCTGGGCGGCGGCAGCCTCCATCTCCCAGGTGGGAACCGGGCAGCAGCATCTCCTTTTCGTTCCCCATCCTCAGCTTGTCTCCAATCTCCATCTGATCACTGGAAATGCTGAGTCGTTGCTCCTCCTCTGCTGCCTCGTCTTCTGGATCCTTCTCCACTGGTTTAGGGCCAAATATCCAGTCTGAGATAGAAAGCAAGGAAAATATGTACTTGTTTGTGTGTATTTGTCTGCTGATGGAACGAAACTGAGAAACATTGGGGATGTTGTCCATTGAACACAAAACACAGGGTGAACACGTTGGAAACTGTCATCAAACAACAAATGATGAAGCCTTCATCACACCACGAACACAGATGGGTGAGGGTCCATACCGTTCCTTCCAGATTTTACCTGCTAGGTCATGCATGAGGTCTTTAATCAGATGGCCCACTATGGCATATGTGACCACAATTATCAACACCACTCCAACTAGGACATAGACTACACTGCGGGGCAACGTTATTGCATCTCTTGCTGGGGGGACGTAGTCCACAAAATAAGCATCTTCCTCGTCCTTTGGGCTGGACAACTGGAGGAGCTGTCGGTGCTCAAACACCAACTGCGTGAGGTTCAAAAGCGGAGTTCCTCCTGAGGTCAGGGGCGCGATTACTTCCTGGTTCATGGTTTTTGAAACTGTTAGCATGGTGAGTGAAACAGAAAGAAGCAAACGTTTAAGGATGGTTTTTTAAGTGATGACATTATCAGAAAGACTGTTCTTTAGCAAAGTTGAAAAGTTTTCTGATGCTGATGAGGATGATGGAATGGAGTGAGAGAAGGAAATGTTGAGGTGGTCTCATAAATGAACACAGCCTTTAAGATTCAATATCGAATAGCTAGAAAAATGAAGCGCACCACCGACAACGTGTGCATGTGCTGTTTGTTTAGCTGTTTCTTTTTTATTTTTTTTACACAAAATCAGACATTCCATCTTTCTACTCTTCCTCAAAGGGGTCACATTTCTAGGTGCATGAAACAGAGGAGTGGGAAATGTAGGACAGACAGAGTTAATCGGATTGAGTCAGACATGGAGCAATATCAGCTTTCCATCTGCAGGGATTAGAGATATGTGCAAGGAAAGGTGGACAGTAATTTGCAAAAGAAGCTTATGGTCATCTGAGACCAAGCTGCACACAGAGATATATTTATGATGCATACATTCATCCCCTCCTTGAACTGCGACCTTACAGTGGTAGAGGTGTCTGGGTGCCCTAATGATCTCGGAAGGCTTTGTTCAGCGAGTTTTGCCTCTGAAAGGGTCTGTTGTGGAAAACTGGTCTCAGATGAAGGGCAAGACAAAGATTAGTTTCAAAGACCTTCCATGAGTCTGAAAACAGTGTACCTGGTACCTGGCCCAGAAGGTATCCGAGGTCCCACCCATGGGGGAAGACTGAGGTTGGGGTCTTTAGTGGCCAGGCCCAGCCTATAGGGGCTCATCCACCCACCAACAGCAGGAGGAACCTGAGGGGTCTTGTGTATTGTGTAACAGGTAGACCAGAGCAGAGGCTCCAGCCCCCTGAAATTTAAACTGACATTTGAGACTTGGAACATCGTCTCGCTGTTGGGGAAGAAGCCTGACCAGCTAGATATAGCTGGGTTCACTTCAGCACATAGCATTGGGTCTGCTTTGCTAGAGTTGGAGTTGAAAGGAGGAGCACTGGGGTAGACTACTTGTTGATCTTCAGATTCTCTTCCTGTATACTGGGGTTCCCGCCCAGAGGAGGGCGGCTTCCCATTGCCTTTGGGTTGGGTGACACATTCTGACTGTTGTTTGTTTTTGTGCACCAAAAAGAAACTCAAACCTTTTAGAACCTGTGAGATGATTATTAGATGGTGCTCCCACAATTAACTCCACAGTCCTGCTGGGGGACTTTAATGCTCAACTTGGCACTGTCCGATGTATAAGTGGGACTTCTGTGTGAATCGCAGTTTGGTCAGAACAAACACCTTGTTCAAGGGTTAGTACACATGGCACCAGGGCAGCCTAGGTCGCTAGTCAATAATTGACTTTGTAGAAGTATCGTCTGACTTGTGGGTGCAGTTCTATCACACGGCATGTAGACTTGGATGTCCCAATGTACAGTCAGGGTCTGCAGGGTGCAGCAGTGGTAGTTACTGAAGCAAAGTCTTGGGTGTGGGAAGGATTCGGCAAGGCTATGGAACAAGACTGTTGATTGTCTTGACTAGCTGCAGCGAACCATTTGGCCTCCCTGAAGGGTCTTCAACATTGTTCACAGATTACAGCTGCTAATATCAACAGGGGATATAGTCAGTCGGTGGTGGAAGGAATAATTTGAGGAGCTCCTCAATCCCACCAAAGTGTATTCCAGTCGGGAACCAGATCTGAGGGACGTAGGGCTAAATTGGTCAATCAAGGTAGCCAAGCATCTGTGGTGGTGCTCTATGGGGTTTATAATGTCCATCCTGGGTATCTCAAGGCTACGGATGTTATAGGACTGTCTTGGTTGATACACCTCTGTTACATTGCGTGGACCTCAGAGTGGAGTGGAGTGGCACACTTGGATGGTGGGCCTCAGCTTTAAGAAAGGGATGCAGAGGGTGTGTTCCAACTACACCCTGCACTTGTAAAAGGCTTTTCTAAATCGGAGGACTTCAAAGTGCTTTACACTACAGTTAGTCATTCACTCATTCACACACACACATTCACATGAAGATGTTGATGAGCGACCATGTAGCCATAGCTGATGTGGTCCTCTTAGCTCCATCAAACAGTGAACTTCAACTTTTACTGGGGAGGTCCGCAGCTGATTATGAAGTGCCTCAGATGAAGACCAGCACCTCCAAATCTAAGGCCATGGTGCTCAATCTGAAAACGCCAGTCCTCACCTATGAGGACCACCTATCAGGAAGAGACTCGGAGTAGATCCACAGCTCCTCCACAGTGAGAGGAGCCAGCTGAGGTTGTTCAGGCTTTGGTCAGAATCAGAATGCCTTCTGAGCAACTCCCAGTTAGAGTTAGGACACGCTGCATGGATTATATCTGCAGCTGATAATGGACGTGCGGATGCAAGGACATACATTTCTGTGAATCCCCTTTATTCATAGATCAAAAAGATACAACTTTCTACATAATTCACCCAAAGAGTACATCTACAACTTATATAAGAGATATAACACAAGAGTTTTGTATTCTGTTCATGGATCGTGGCCCGAGTAAATTTAGGGCAAAATGACAGGGTCCGATGAAAAAGGGAAAAAAATGGAAACAGGAAATGCAAGTTCGTAAAAACACATTTAAAATATACAATCTTACCTTTTTTACATGAACTAAAACTGTTGCTCAGCTTTCTTCTTTAACTTGGGGATGAAATGGCTTCAAAACGAGCATGAACTCTACCGCAGCAGCTCTAGAAGTAAACAACCACAAAACACAAATAAAGAATTAAGGTCAAGTATTGAGGAAAGTTATTGAGAAAACAGAAACATTTCTCAATTAAAAAAATGCTTCTTAGTCCTCACAGGTCTCCTCTGTGCAGCATCTGTAAGACGATCCTTTTAGGATGTAGCCTGTTCTTCTTTCGGTGTTGACATAATTCTGTGATACTCACGAGCAAGGAACTGCCACTCCATGATGGAGACGGCTACGTTTGCAAAGAGAATAAACCAAGAGACTGGGTGCAGACCGAAGTAGAAAACATGCTCCATGTGGTGCAAGAGGATGTAGAAGAAGTAGAACAAAAGGTGGGATGTGAAAGGAGTACGTCTGCAGAAGAGCTGTCAGAGGAGTAAAGCTCCCTGTGTTGTTATCGAGATGTTCTTAAGTAATCCTTAACAGGATTTGGTCGACACAAACCAGCCTTTGAATGAGTCAGTGGTCGGGAAAAACACACACGAGTTCATTTAGAGTCACTGGGACAACTGTTTGAGCATCTGATTCACACCAACTGCAAGAGAACAAGTTACACAAGATGAAAGATTACATTTTTCTAAGGATTACCTGCAAAAATGGTTCCGTCCTTGTTTACTCTTTGATTTTGGTATTTTTTCCTCTAAAACTGTTTCCAAGTTTTTCCAGATTACAAATGAAAGAAAGCAGACGCCACTGGAAGCTCTACGGGCTAGTCCTAAAAGCAAAAAAATATAACTCCCAGTCAGTCTGTCAGGTGGGCAGGTCCATGCTGACCTCCTCAGGCTGGGGTGACTATCTTCTTGGGTTTGTCTTCTGGTTCCACGATCCACTTCATGTATGCATCGCCCAGGATGAAGGCCCAGTAAAAGATGGTCAGAGAGGTATTCACGGTCATAATGCCGATGATCAAAGGGTGTATCATGGTGGCGAACTGGAGCAAAGCTCAAAAATCTGTGTCACCTGAAATGAAAAAAAGTGTCTCCTGTGGGTTGAAGAAACAGCCTGTACGCAATCGACGCTCTGCCTGCTTCTACTCTCCTCATGAGCTCCCCACCTCTCTTTGCACTGGTCATTGGTTTGTGTGGCAACAGCAGCATAATCCTCTTCAGCAGCTTTGTTACAGAAGATAAGATTGCATTAATCACAACCGAGCCATACGAAAGCTGCTCCTTCATCAGAAGGTGTGGAAAACACGAGGGAAGGTGTTAGAGGACAATGTTGTTCATGTGCTTCAAATGACCAGAAAATAATTTTTGTTCTCTAGATATAATCTAGATTCTAATCCAGATAGGCAAAGTCTGACGCAGGAGTTTTTAATCTTACTGCAAATAGGACAGATGGCCTAGAGGCACAGGAAACTTCTATCAGCTCTGGCTCAACCGAAACGCCTAGAATCTGAATATTAGAGCGCTAAAGCACAGGAAGTTCAGTGTCTGCAGTCAGAAGGATCTGAGTTTGGTTTACTGTTGCAGGAATCAGATTTCTCCTCCAAACTGATCTAAGTTTTCATCTGGTCATCTGGCACAGCTGACAATTTTCCTTAAAGAAGTCTTTTGTGTACTGTCTAGATTTTATTTTTTTCTTCTTCTCTAAATTTAATTTAATTTAATTTAATTTAATTTAATTTAATTTAATTTAATTTAATTTAATTTAATTTAATTTAATTTAATTTAATTATTCATTTATAATTTTGGTGCTGCAGAGAACAAAGCTGAGTGCTGCTGCCAATCATTGTTTTTTTTTTTTTTTTTTTTTCTGTGTTGGCTGAGTTAAGGACCCTAAACCGCCCAGGTGGTGTCCCACTTTTTGCCCCCCCCCCCCCCCCCCCCCCCCCCAACGACAGAGCTGTTTGATGGTTGGATGTGACATGTACCACCAGGTGGCAGTCTGTGCAGACACAGACACAGAGCCAGTTATGAGAGGGTAAAAACATTTATTTTTCTGCAAAGTTTTGCACCTGTCGGTTCTGTTAAACTCAGTCGCTGCTTGTAGCTGTAAGTTTGAGATAAAACAACAAATCAAACAAAAATGTTTCATTAAATAATATTTTTTGTGCACTGTAACCTTTGTGATGTCATACGTTTTATTTGAACAAACTATCGCATACATAAAAACAATGGTTGCACCATGAAATCACCTCAGTCGTGCCTCAGCCTGCAAGAGGCAGCAAAGAGCTGCATGCCTCAAACACACAGGGGAGGAAGAAGATGGGCCTAAGCTGACCTTTGGAACCCGGTGTAGATACGAGGTGTGTTGGAGCAGCGGTATTGCTTCATCACAGATCAAAAGCCAACCAGACACTCCTTTAAACCCTCTCCTACCAGCAGCAGTGGTGAGATCTCTGTCTTTTTGACATGTCTCCATCCACTGCCAGTTCTTCATCCTGGAACATTTCCACCTGAGCAGTTTTAAAAGACATTTGAGAATTTGGACACGTAATCGTGTAAGAATGAGGCCGCCGGTGGAGGTCAGCGTGTTTCTGCTCTCTCTGTTGGCTCCTGGAGTTTTATTCACGATGAATACGATTTCGGCTCTTCAGGAGTAAGTTTATGATCATTTCTGTCACATCTTGGAATGTTTTAAAGCAAGTTTGGGATCAGTGCTGGGATTTGACTTCATACAGGCTCACATGCTTAAGAATAAAATAATGAACCAAATATATGAATGTTATAGCCTTTTACTCATGAAAACATGAAGCAAGTTAACTAAAAACCAAACATCATTCCGTGTTTCTTTCTTTCTGTTGATTGGATTTGATCCCTGGCCTCTTTATTCTATGAGATCACGTGACTTTGGATTGTGTTCTAGATTACATTCATTTCATTAGTGAAGTTCTTGAATTTCATCCATTTAAAAACAAAAACAAGAGACTTTTAGAAGGCCTTGTGATGTTCTAGATCCTTAATAAGAGAGAATTTAAAAAGCTTTTTTTTCCAAAGAATTTTGATAATTAAAAATATATTTTCTTTTAAATAAGTTTGGGGGTTTGATGTGGTCTAGACATTATTTCTAAAGATTCTAATTTCTGTTTTTGTCATTTTAATAGGAATTTGTGAAACTTGAAAGCTGACTAGTCATTTCATGCATGTAATTTGTGCAGATGTTGTTTATTTTTCAGCAGCTTGTCTGAAAGCTGTTAATTTTATTTTCAAAAATGCAAATGACTCATCTTATCTCCTACATGTTGACTGACATTTATTGAAATTAATTTTTAAAAATGACTTGAACAAATGTGGAGAAAAGCTTTAAAGCTCTACTATGCAACTTTTTTATATTTTTTAAATCATTATCTTGAGCCAGTATGTGCTGAAAGGAACTTTGACAGGGTTAATACAGTGTCACTCAGATCCCCACCCTCTTCTGTGGCCAGAATGTCACACTTGCAACTTCAGAGTGGTGGGCCGCTGCCTGTTTTTGGAGAAAAGATGGAGCTGACATACCTGGCGCTGCAGTCTGCTTCCAGAACTTTCTTCCTGCATGTTTTAGATCATGAACACAGCTGATTTGTTTAATTTAGTGATGAATCACTCCTGACAATAATGAAGGGAGGGGAGACGTATCAGCTGTTAAAGTGTCAAAAAGACAAACACAGAGGAGGAGATGAGTTTCATTTTTGGTTCTACTGAACGGACTCTAGAGAGTGCTAAAAGTAAGCCAAAACTGCCCAGTCTCTCTTTAATATTTTAAACAAATGTTCAGAATTATTGGAATCAGCTCTGATAAAAGTGTGTTCTCACTCCCTCTGCAGACCTCTTCCTATCCTGGGAATGGGAATGGTTGTTCTGGGATCTGTTCTCCTCCTCATCATCCTCTCAGTGCGACACAGGACTAAAGTGGACCCTTTATTTTATGGTACAGAAACAAAGCTTAATACAAATATGCCAAAGAAAGGCTGACTGCTGTTTTATCATTGTACGACCATGTGTGTGTGTGTGTGTGTGTGTGTAGTCTTTGCAGAGTGTTCCTTCATCTCTGTGGTGGGTCTGACCAATGCTTTAGAGCAGGATGGGTTCATCTCTGGATTCATGAACTTTTATCTGAAGATGGTAGGACGACCATCTCAGCCCTCATTCCATCCTCATGACAGTTTTGAAATTGTGAAGAATTTTGGCATTTTTTTTTTCAGGGTGAACCTCATCTCAGCGCTGCCTACGCTGTGATGATGTCCTACTGGGAGGGTGTGCACCTTGTCCTCTCACTCGCTATCATCCATCGTATGTTTGCAGGGTGAGCTGCTGCAGAACTCCACACCTGTGGGTTCAGGGAGAAATTTGATTAAACAAATAAAATGTTTATGTCTTTACAGAAAGTCTTATCGGACTATGGGTCTGCTGTGGACCGGCTCCTTCATTGCCAATCAAATTGTTCTGATTCCAGGAGTGTTCATTGGTGAGAGCTGCTATGTTAAATATCTGTTTTCTCTCAACTACCATTCAACTTAATTAATTTGTTTTTAGGTAAATATGGGTCCAACATCAAGCCAGCATTTTGGAGGAACGTCCCATTCTTTCTGATACCATTCTGGGCAGCTTTTCAACTCTTCAGCCGACAGCGAGAGATGCAGATTCTCACAGCAGACAAGGTGCATTTCAGGTGTTAGTAATTTAATGTGTACTCAATGGCTTTAAAGTGCAAAAATAAAACTAGTTTTTATATTTTAGCAGTTTTTTCAAGCACGCTTAAGCATTCTTAAGCTTCATTTTGTGCAATGAAAACAAATCTCAGCAATATTCTGGCTCCAGCTGCAGAACTAATTGAATGCATTAACCATGTGTTATGTAATAAAACAATCTGTAGACAATCAGGCCGCACCTGCTCCACCTCCTGAGTGTGTTTAATGCCCAGCAGGTCACTGTAGAGCAGAAAAAGAGTCTGCTGGCTCGGCCCATCGACCTGCTCCTGTCTCTCCTCTTACTGGGAGTTCTGGCCTTCTCTGCTTTCAGAGGTTTTGTGAGTAAAACAACACAAAGCCTACCACTCTGGTTTGTGTTATGGAGACGCAAGACAAGATGTTTAAATAAATATCTGTCCTCTTTTGGTCTCTAGGTGGTGCTGGATTGTCCTCTGGATGCCTGTTTTACTTACATCTATCAGTATGAGCCATATCTCAAAGACCCAGTTGGATTTCCCCGGGTTATGGTCAGTCCAGAGGAATAACAAAATGAACCAATCTGTGATTTAGTTTCAAACCGTAACTGATCCCGTTTGGAACAGATGTTGGTGTATTTGTTCTACGCGGTGCCCCTGGTCACCGTCCTGATCTTCGGTCTAAAGACTCCTGGATGCAGCTGGATGTTGGACTGGACCATCTTCTTTGCTGGAGCCATGGCTCAGGTACTTGTGGTTAAATTTTTGTAGATTTTTCATAAAAGAAAGTAAAAATTCCCATCTCATTCATCCTTCACTGCTGTTCCGTCCAGGCCCAGTGGTGCCATATCGGAGCATCTCTGCACTCTCGCACTCCCTTCACTTACCGAGTCCCAGCAGACAAAAGATGGCCCGTTATCACCCTCAACGTGCTGCTCGCCATCACACCAGTCCTGCTGGCTCTCCGCTGCCACACCAACCCTGCTTTCTTCATGAAACCCATTCCTGAGGGCCAAGTTAACGACGAGAAGAAGAAAAACTAGACCACACGTTTGCCATGGCATGCCGAGGAAACCTTGATGCTGTGGCAAAGTGAATGTTGGACTATTTAATGCACAAACTGAATAAAAAATGTTATTTTCAATCTTAAAACTGAAAGAAGATTTAAAAGCGGTGCTCTCTGAGCTGACCCTCTCACGCAGCACTCCTCATGTGGACTGCTGGACCTTGATAAGAGGGCCACTGATGGAGGTGAGGACTGTGATCGTTGTTCAGATGACACATTCAGGAGTCATTCCAAAGTTAGATAACAAATAACAGTTTACATTACTGCAGGTCTGACAGCTCGCTGGTTTCTAGCTCAAAAGATTCACTATTTATTTCTACTCGTGTAAAATGATCAGGTTTAGCTGAATTAAAGCTTTGATCCTATATAAACTGCTAATAACTGCTCCCCTGATGTGACTAATTTGTCAAAACTCTACTAACAGATGGATGATTTCTCTCGCGGTCGTGTCACTGTTGTTTATTTTGCAGAATAAAAATAAATTTCTACTTTTTATGTCAGATTTCTTAATTTGGCAGAGTTGTGCATTCATTCCATGTGTTCTTCTGAGTTTTAAAGTCATTTACAGTTTAACACAGCCGTCTACTCAGCTGTCAGTGCAGCTGTGACCTCAGCAAGCAACGTGAACCATTTGGCCGTCAGGCTGATAAGAGCTGAACCCTGGATCTAGGTGAGCTGTCACACACACAGACGTCATACAAACACTCACGGGAGTGATTTGTTTTCCTCTGGTGCCAAAACAGATGGATCAGGTATTGGACTGAGACGTTTAAGAGATTAAATCTTTAAGAAAGGCTCTTATTGTCACTGATCAGCACCAGTGATTGTAGAAATAATGGACGAATCTTCCACGCTATCCCCCACAGGTTTCTGAAGAGCTGAATAGGAGACCAGTGCGTGGTTCTCACCACCGCCATCTTAGCAGCGTCTTGTCGCTCCATAAAATTACAAAAACGGAGCTGAGAGCTGGGTTGGGAGGGAGGGGGCAGATGATTGACACCCATCAAACTCTGGGTTTGTGTAGCTACAAGCTAAATGAGCTAATCAAAGCTAATGAAGGTCACGCCCCTAATGATTCATCATTTCAAGCTTTAATCACATCTACACGTTACATAAAAAATCCACCCCTCTCAGAGTTGTCATGATGGAAAACTTGACCTGTTAAACCTAAGTTGCTTTTTGAACTGGGCTGTAAACATGTTTTTTTGTTTGTTTGTTTGTTTGTTTTGGCTGTGAAGTTTGCATTTTTAACATGGGAGTCAGTGAGAACCTGCTCCTTTCTGAATCCCACCCCTAGTGGATGAGGTGGGAGCTGCATTTTTGTCACTTCCACGTTGGAGTTTTCCCCTTGGTCAGCACAGAATCTTTTATTCTTCTATTCCTGTTTATTTTAAATCAGATTAGTCCAGATTAAAAACCACAAATTTCTAATTCAGTAGCTGTTACAACAACATTTCAAATCTGCTATAACAAAGAGTTTCCAGCCTCAGCTGCAGGCAGAGGAGAACGTACAGAAACACCAGCCATTTTCTGAGATAAATGGCCCTTCATGTCACGCCACTTTTATTTTTTTGAACCTCCGTTCACAGCGTGCTCTCTTCTGTGTGATTTAGGCTCTCTTCTGTGAAAATAAATACAGCCATCCATAAATTTGAAATGGTGCACATTTATCTTCATAACGATCTGGAGTCGTAAAGTTCAAGAAAGTCTGCTTTAGTCTGTGAGTGTGGCTTAAGATGATGTGATGACATATGATATGATGAGATGAACAAAATTAACGATGCAGCTATTTCAAGGTGTTATTTCTCTTTATATTGTAGCACAATCTGATAGCCTGGCAAGCCAGACTAAATAAATGTATATATGAATATATATATATATATATATATATATATATATATATATATATATATATATATATATATATATATATATATATATATATATATATATAATATATTATATATTATATATATATATATATATATATATATATATATATATATATATATATATATATATATATATATATATATATATATATATATATATATATATATAATATATATAATAAGTGTAAACTTTGCAAAGCAAGAATTTGGTCTAGTTCACTAGGCTAACAATCTGAGGCTGTGGAAGTAGATTATACTTTAAAATGTTACTAAGTTAATCCTTTTGTCATATTGTTAATTGATTCAAAAGTGAACACATGCTGAAATTAGTGCAATGTTAAAACGCTCCATGTGTGCATTTTCATTCTTTTTCACAGGTTTTAATCTGGATCTATGGCTCCAGACCAGTGTTGGGAGACGGCCCAGATAGAGAGGTAACAGTAAATGAGGAGAAGCAGTGATTCAGCATTTTCAGTGGCCAGATGAAGAGACAAGCTGGGGATGAAAAGGAGGCTGCTGCCAGATTTCCACCTGGGAGATAGAGGATGCTGGAGTCCAGCTTCCCCTCTTCCACTGAGTAGCAGCGTCGCTTCGTCGTACCCAGGAGAGAAAAACGGATGTCTGCCCACAGTGTGACCTTCTCCTGTGCTATCGGCCCATTTCTCACCTCCCTTTGAGTTTTCATTCCTTCATGGCTCACATCAGTTTTGTCTCATGCAATGTGTCCTTCAGCACTTTCTGCAAAATTAAACATCTTCACTCAATCAAAATTGAAAGCTTTCATGTATTCATCAGCCTTTGAATGAATGTTTCCTATGCTGCACATTCTGCACGGTAACTGCTCATCCTTTAACTTTGACTTTTAATGTTATTCTGCTGTTTAATGTTGTCAGATTGATTTTATTGTTTTATGTTCTTGCTGTTATCGCACAGTTGCTTCTGTGTATGAAATGTACTACATAAATAAAGCTGCCTTGCTTTGCTTAATAAAAAACAGATTGATTGTATTTTTTAATTAATAGAATGTTCATGAATTTGATTATAATATTAACTTACAAAACTAAACAATTTATGTAAAAATACATCAAAACGCTGCTTTAATTAAACACTTTGGCTTGAACTGAAAGAAAAAGAAACAACTTTACAAGCTGATGTTCATTTTATTCACTTTATTAAGAATGAAATACAACAGCTGGACAAAAAGTCATAAGAACACCAAAACAAAAGTGGATGACCAAAATATCAAAGGGACCAGAGACAAAAATCGGTGGCATTCTACCAATCATGTAAATACGTGCAAAGTTTCATGAGCTTTAGCAAATCAGATACAATCAAGCTTTTGTTTCCAAGGGAATATTTTACATTCCCACCTATATAATCTACAGTATGTCAACGGGATTTATCCGTGACAGAAGTCTATTAGATAGAACAGAGTCCAGCTATTGATCAGCCAATCACACGCAACAAAAAATATTTACAAAACTGAGATTAGAGGCAATAAAATTATATTTTTTCACTGATTGGACTCACATACAGGTAGAAAACTGAAGTTACACTGTTTCTCTTGGGTATAAGTAGAAAAGAAAGCATATTCACTAGTAAATTATCCATAATAAATAGTAACATTACAGAAACAGTAAATATTAGAAAAAGCATGTTAGTAAAACAACCCTGCTACTCAAGAGCTTGACGGAGGAAAGCAGTGACAGCTAAAGATACAGACAAACAGATCAGGGTTACCAGCGACTAAACACCGCTGTCTGGATGAGTTATTTATCTGTGAGACAAGCAACATTTTACCAAACAAAAGAACCCCAAAAGTTTCCATCTGACATGCACACACTCACACACACACTCACACAGGTAATACTCTACTGAAACATTAGGAAGGACGTGAGTTAAGCTGTCTGGTGGGTGTTCACAGGGACCTCAGCTGAAGGAAGCATCAGAACAGTGAAACTTCTGGAGGGCAGAGTGGATATTAGCAGGATGTAAGAAGAAAAGTTTATTTGTTAAAAGTAATAAAAAATAAACGAAGCATGAGGAAAAGCAAGACAAAAGATCAAACTACTGTCTGTCTTTACGGGCCATGGTTAGCACCTTGGCATAGCAGGTATAGTGTTATTTGGCTCAGTAGTCGCTGTGCACATCCTCTCTGACCCTGCGGCCCTCTCCTCCGTGTCTCCTGTTCCGGCGACGGTCGTGGTGCTGATTGTGGTGATGGCGCCTGTACTGGTGAGAGCGCCGAGCTGAAGGAAGATGGAGAGTTTTATTTTTAAAGCTAAAACTGTCTAAATAAAGGATTTATTTAGTCCAAAGGAACATCAGATTAAACACAATTAACGTCTGTGAGGAAGTTAAATGCTAAAGGATGGTTCAGATTTTTTAATGTGTGCTTTTGTGGAAACGTTGTGAACAGTTAATATTCTACCTGGTGTAGCTTGCTCACTGAACAACATCAGTTTGGAGAAACTGAGTTTAATTGTGCCCAGACAGACAAGCTAACACTGTTTCACTTTACATGAATATTCTGGGAAAAAGAATGAAGTTCCAACAGGAAATGTGGGAGATTTTCAAATAACCTCTGATTTATATTTAAATACCTGTGTACTGCAATGTGAAGATTTATAAAATATTAGCATAAACCTGGCCCCATTGTGTCTAGCTGTTCAGTTTATCCAGACTAGTGTCGCTCAAAGAACTGTCTGCAACTGGAAAGAGATTAATTGCTCTTAATTTTTCCACAGAAAACCACTTCAAAAGATGTAATCTCTGACTTAAATTTTTATGAAACTGTTTGCTTGCATCATTTGTAGCTTAATGTTTGGATACAGTAAAAAAATATCCCAAAACAGTCAGGAATCAGCTCAGTGTGACGTTAGAACCGAGTGGATTTTTATGACACAGATTATTATGACCAAAGGTAAGACTGATCTTATGCTTTTGAGTTCACGAAATTAGCTTTGTTTTGCTTTTCAGTTAGCGGCTTATTGTCATTGGGTGTTGTTGAGGTAGAAAACGTAGATTTGTCGTTTATATCATCCTCTTCCCATTAAGTGCATGTGCAGTTTTCACATTAAGCATGTTTTTGGAACAGCTTTGTTGCTGGCGTGCTCATGGACCTGGTACTGTGTTCGTTGGGTTCAAGTTGTGTGAAGCATAAGAATGGTAATGTGTCATCCCTAGAGGTGATATGTGGTTATTGCATCTGAAAAATGTGCCCCACCATAAAGAAATTCACCAGCTGCCACTGGTTTTAATCCTGCATTAAAAGTGTTGAAGACCAGGAAACATGAGGAAATTAAAGCTACAAGCAGCGTCGTTCGGCCCTCGCAGCTCCGCGCCGCTCTGGCCTGGCCGGCAGCCCGGGAAACCCAGGCACATCCGCAGAACCGAAACGTCGACCACCCCGACACCATAAACCGCGAACGGTCTCCTCATCCACACCTCACCCTGACTCAGCATGTCCTCTGAGCCCACCAATAAATTACACACGTCACCACAAGGGGATACTCTATCTTTACCACACTGGTGGTGTGATGGCACAGACCAAGTTTAATGCTTTTGAAGTTATTGAAGGTTAAAGTTATCTAGGGGGTGCTGTGACCAATTACAAAAAAATCCCATTGAGGTCCTCTTAGGAAGTCAAAGATGGCTTTGTGGTAGTTTGGCATCAATCAGACTTTGCGCATGCTTTCTAGAGCCAGAGAGCTGAAAGGGGGAGGAGATAAATGGATTCGAACCAACAACCACATCGATGTGTTTGGTGCAGTCACGTGATGACACAAGCCAAGTAAAATGCCATTCTGACCTTGTCTGTAGAAGTTAATGAAGTTTGAACCTTTCTAGGGGGCGCTGTGACCATTCACAACTAAATCCCATAGAGGTCATCTTTGGTCATCAAAGATGGTTTTCTGTTAATTTGGCATCAATCAAACATTGCTTGGGTCATTTACAGCCAAAAGGCTGTAAGTGGGCGAAGTTAAAGTGATTTGAACAAGTGAACACACACATGTGTTGATTGCAGTTACGTGACGACTCCCACCATGTTTGATATAGTTTGGAGCTTTTTTGTGGAAGTTACAAAAGTTTTATTGTATCTAGGGGGCGCTGTCCCAAATTTAGGAAAATATCCCATGGAGCAGCTTGTAGGTTGACAACAATCATTTGCGTGTACTTTGGTGTGAATTGAACTACGCATGTCTTATTCAGGGCCTAATATCTGTCAGGGGGCGGAGCTAAAGCAATATCAACCAATGACCACAGGATTGTTTTGGGTGCCATTGTGTGATGACACATAGCAAGTTTGGTGCAGTTGCGACCTTGTCTGTAGGAGTTATTACAGTTTTAAAGGAATGTAGGGGGCGCTGTGGTGATATTGTACAACGTTCACCAACCTTTTGTGCCTCATTGGCTAAAAGGCATGATTGTTGATCGCCATGTTCAGCCTCGTGAAGATCGGAGGCTGTTTGTGGAAATTACAGTCAAACGTAAGGTCACGCCGTCACGCCAGAATTCACCATGGCACCAAAGCCCCCCCCTTTCTGGAAAGCTATCAGAACTGAATGGTCATTACAGCATCATGAAGACAGTGCATGACCTTAGTGTCATGTTGTCTAAATTAGAGGGGACAAATATGGGTAGTTCACCATAACACAATAGACTTCCTGTTGTCAGGGGGCGGGGCTAGGGTGATGTCAGCTCTCCACATTGTCACTGTCTTAAGATGTGGTCAGTGATCACACAGACAAAGTTTGATATAGATCTGATCATGTGTATGGGAGTTATCACGTCAATGAATGTAATGGCGAAAGGTCAATATTTGAGGCTTAGCCACGCCCACATCTTTCAACTTTTGAAAAATCCAATGGTTGAATTTTTCCCCTTTGTCTTAAGAGTATAAAGCAAATGTTTGAAGGCGATTGGTGAAAAGGGCGACGGGGCATCATTCTCCAAACAATGTGTGCAAAAACCACTAAATCGAGTACTTGGACCAACATGGCCGACCTCCTGTGCGACTTTGCGCTTTGCTCCAATAGACTTTTTTGTAGGTCCTGAAACACTACATTAGTGTACCAGATTCCGTAATCCTCAGTCAAAGCATGGCTTGGGGCTGACAGTTTAAATGGTCCTAGGGAGCGTTACTTTAGATAATAGGCCACGCCCATCGGATTTTCACATCAGAATTTTTGGGGGGTGGGACTAGGATCACTCACCAGAAGTTTCGTGGCGATATCTTTAGAAATGACGAAATGGGAGGCAAACATATTTGCATGGTGTGATGGCGAATTTCACCACGCTCCCAAAGCCCCGCCTTTTTTCGAATTCTGCCAGTACTGGACAGCAAGTGACCTCAACTTATCTACTGCTATTTGCCTGAGATTGCTGGTGATTGGGTAAAAGGAGTCCAATAGGGAGCTGTGAAAAATGAGTGGCGTGGCGACAGGTCAAAGTTTGAGGCTTAGCCACGCCCATAACTTTCAACTTTTGAAAGATCCGACGGTTGAATTTTTGTGTGATGTAATCATCCGACCATTGAATTTACTTTGTGGGTGGATGTTGAATGACCACAGAATTTTTTGTAACTTTACTCTATTCGAGTATGAAGTTATAGCATTTATATTTTTTTGGCGAGTGGTCGAACTTCGAGGCCAATCGCCCATTCCTTCTGAGCAATTTCCCACAACTTTTGAGACGATCAAGCGAAAATTGATCGAGTAAATCAATCAGAAGCAGACCCTAGAAACGGCCAAAACGGGGTCAAAATTACAACTTCAAACCAAAATGGCAGACTTCCTGTTTGATGTTGACCATGGTTGCAAGAGGCTTTTCTGTGTGGACTGTTGAGTACTACAAGTATACAAAATTTCATAACTGTACGACAAACTAAGGTTAAAGGAGGGGGGGATTTTTCACATTCTAGGGGGTGCTGTGGAGCTAGTTTTATTGCAATTTTTTTGGGACCTTTAAAATACAAAATTTTACACCACGCCTGACATGTGTGGAAAAATTCCTGAGTTTTCAGGTATGTTAAGGCCTCCAAAAAGCCAATTTACTTGGCGGAAGAAATATAAACAGAGCAGATATGATAGGCCTTCGCAGCGCTTTCGCTGCTCGGGCCTAAAAAAGGGTCAAACTAAAAAAAAGAATCTGTTAAATTAAACAATTAAAAATATAAACACTAGTTCTGAAGAACTTTTGGTGTTATGAATTCAGAATTAAAAATTCAAACAACTCAATGATTGTAAAGATGTAAACTCACATTTTGTGCACACGATCCTGGGACGCTCCCAGCTCCCGTCGGCCCGGCAGCGTGAAGTGGGAATGTGGCGCTGGTAGAACCCTTCAGAACATTGGTAACGCACCACTGCATGGATGTCATAATGCGATCTCCTCCGGCCTATCAGATGGGCATTCTCCACTGCTGGCGGGGTCCCACATAACACTGCCAAACACAGAATAACTACATGAATCAAACTATATTTAGCTTTGCCACAATTTTAATTAGAACTGATCAGAGGTGATGGATTTGAACTGAAGACACAAAGCTATAGGTGAGTGCTGACTGTAGGTGGTGGCCTTGTGTCTGATCCATGATAACGTGTCTCTTTAGAGGATGGGGACTATACAACTTCTCTAAAACATCCCATCATCGCAGCAATCTCTATTCAAAGTTGGCTAAATCCCAGAGGAAAGGTGTGTGTGTATGTGTGTATGGGTGTGTGTGTGTCGAGGGGGGGTAGACCTGGCCAAATTGCCCAAAGGAGTTTTAGATGAAATTTGTGAAGTTGGCAATAACTGGTAATAACTGTAAGCTTGAATCTCCTGCCTGAGTGAGTGTGAGTGAGGCCAGAGACGCCAATAAGACGAAGATTGAGATTGATATCCCGCTCAGAAATCAATACAGGTTTGAGACTCAGGCACAACTTTCCCTAGTTTTTTTTAGTCATCAATTTTGCAAAGCTCTGCAGCTGCTGTGACCTTTTGTGGAGGAAATAAAAAGGGTAATTTATGTGAAACGCTGACTGAAGTTTGGCAAACGGTGGACTGAAAAGTACAAAGAACAAGAGGTGATGATGGTGCTGATGACTAACGCACAGCCAGCCGGTCACATGTGAAAATAGACAGAAAGAAAGAAAATGATCTTTTACATAGCGCCTCTCAAGACAAAAACCACGAGGCGCTTCACAAAATCAAACAAAAATATAAAAAATATTTCTAAAAATTATTCAAAAATGTTTTTAAAATGAGAAAAAAATAAAAAATTGTGATCAAAACAACATTGTAAAGAAAGAGAGAGAGAGAAAAGGAAAGAGGGACATCAGTGGATGCTGGGAAAGGCAGAATAAGAGCAGAACAATGAAAGGGTGGTGATGAAGGTCACACCAAAGCCAGCGTGAACAGGTGTTTTCAGCTGCTTTTTAAAGGAGACCACTGAGTCCACTGATCTTAGGCTCAGGGGGGAGAGAGCTCCAGAGTCTGGGGGCCACAGCAGCAAACGATCTGTCACCTTTGGTCTTTAAAAAAGTGTGAGCATGGCTCGTCTAACGTTTTCGTGCCAAGAAAATATACTTGACAGCTAATGGTGCTTACTGTAAAGCACTTTAGATTAAAAGCTGAAGGTTTGACACGCTTCAGTACCTGTCCCTTTCCTGCAGATGTAAGGCAGGTTGTAGTTGCAGGGCACGTCATTCCATTTGCCGTCCTCATGAGCGATGGTCACCACGCAATCCTCTCCGCCCGCAAAGAAGTTATCAGGCTGGCTCTCCCTCCAGTTCTCGTAAACCTGCAGAGCAAAAACACCTTAAATTAGCTTTCTTTGTTTTCATGGCTGAATCAAGAGTGATATCTTCACCCCTCACACATCTCGTTTAAACAGATTAGATTTCAGTTTGAAAAACAATAATCTATTTCATTAAATCTGACAGGATTTCTGGTTTTGAGAGGTTATTTTGCACCAATCAGGAGCAAAAAATGAATCACTTAAATGTAGGTTTGTTTACTTTAAAAGCTGATAAATGCCATTTAAAGACTATCTGCCCTATAATAACATTAGTCAGACTAATGGGGGTTAAAGAGAGACGGTTTAATGTTATTTAAAGGCTGACTAATGAGATTTAAAGAGGAGAACTGTAATTGTTTGCCAGCGAAGCATTCAAACCAGCCCCCTCCCTCCTTTTCATGCTGTTTTAGTGCTTCACCAGGAAAATGAAATTCATCCATTCTGTTTTTATTCTTTCAGTGTGATTTTCTAAAAGAGTAAAACCATCCACATCTTTTCACCCTCTCACAAAACCCTTCAGGGAAAAGAGTATGTTCGGGTTTTTATGACAAAGAGATCGTTCTACTAAGAGAAAGTGTGTTTTGAAGAGGAATACCCAGAAGGAAGATACTGGAGTTTGAGTTGATTGCTGCATTTTTATTTTCTTGATAGTGGCTGATGTCCTCACATTCCAAATGCAGTAAAATAATAAGGGAATGTGGGGATTTTCCTCAGAGAAATCCCAAACCCTGCACCTAAGTGGTTATGGGACATGATTAATAAGATTGACTTTGATGAGATTCAGCTCCTCTAAATCGGAGACCATGGTATTGAGACGCTTCTCCAGGTCAGGGATGAGGTCCTGCCCCAAGTGGAGGAGTTTAAGTATCTGGGGGTCTTGTTCACGAGTGAGGGGAAGACGGAGCGAGAGCGGTAGATTGGTGCTGCATTTGCAGTGATGTTGTACTCAACTGGAAGGTGAAGCTCTCAATTTACCGGTCGATATACATTCCAACCCTCCCCTGTGGTCACGAGCTCTGGGTAGTGACCAAAAGAATGAGAACACAGAAACAATCGGTTTTATCAGCAGGGTGTCTGGGCTCACTCTTAGAGATAAGGTGAGAAGCTCGGCCATCTGGGAGGGGCTCGGAGTAGACCTGCTGCTCCTCCACATAGAGAGGGGCCAGTTGAGGTGGCTCAGGCATCTGATGAGGAATCCTCCTGGACATCTCTCTGGTGAGGATTTTCTGGCACGTCCAACCAGGAGGAGTCCTAAGGGAAGACACAGGGCTCGCTGGAGGGGCTATGTTTCTCACCTGGCCAGGGAACGCTTTGGGGTTCTCTCAGAGGAGCTGGCCCAAGTAACTGGGGAAAGGGAAGTCTGGGTTTCTCTGCTTAGGCTGCTGCCCCATGACCCGAAACCGGATAATCAGATGAAAAGTGATGTATGGATGGACTTTTTCTCTGTTGCTTAAATATATAATTTGCATCCAAGTGGAGAAAAAGTCTTCATCAGACGGTGTTTATGCATCTTTCTGCAGATGAATGTGTAAAGGCAAAATTACTTACCTTGATATGTTTGTTTGTTTAGCATTTCACTTTCAGTGGATTATATTATTACAAAGTTTAGCAAAAGTACTTATTATTTAAAAAAAATCTTAACTAGTGCTTTTTAAAGACTTTGAGGTAAGTTTGGTATTGTTCACATGGCCGCACAGTGGAAAACGTATCACTGACCAGTTCGTTTCCATCGGTCCACTGAAAGTCCTCCTCCACAGTCCGATCATTCAGACCAACCCAGGCGTTGTCATGTCCAAGACCTGAAACAAAAAATACATTTAAACGAATGACTCATTCTGATTACTGACTGGCTTCTCTAAGGTCATAAGAACAATGCAACACAATAATTTGCTACTTAAAGGTAAATTATTACCACAAAAAAAAAAAGGTTTTCTCGTTCACTCGGTTTTTCTAAAGGTCAACTTCCCTGAAAAAAACCCCATTTTATAATTATTATTTCTGATTATAATCAGTCACTCTGAGTTTGTCATTGTTTATGAGTTTGTTGATGTTTTATCTCCCCAAATAACACAAGCCTGGAGGAGTTCTGCAGTGTGGTGGAGATGCTAACTCTAACAGTTAGCTTCCGCTACCCAATGCGTGGCCTGCTCTCTCCTGGACTCTAAATGAACAACAGCCGTCCCTGTCATGTGCCAAGATGGGTGAGTCCATGAATGATAAATTGACAGTATGACATGTTAATGTCAGGCTTTTCTAATTAGACTGTCCCCGTCTATTTTCTATCGGTGGCTAATGTAGGAAAAGGGGGGTGAAAGACTTTTTTTCACACAAGCCTGCATGTTAAACTCAAAGTGACTGATCATATTTAAAAAAAAAAAAAAGTAAAAATGGTTTCTTCGCTAATTTGGCCTTTCAAATGAAGTAAGAAACTACAAGATTTTACATAAATGTTGACATTTTGTCCAACCTGATTCACCTCATGATTAATTTCTGACTGATGCACCTCGGTGCTAAATTTACACATGTTCTTGTGCAAATGTAGTGTTCTACATGTGTTAGATATTTTATTTTAAGTAAATTATTATAGGGTTCTATCAGAATAAAACCGCACTACCAGACCTGCAGAACATACCATTAATAAACTCCTGCTCAGCTTTGGACAGCACACTGCTGAGATGTGCACTGTGCTCTCGGCAGTCTTTCTCTGCATCCTCCCAGGTGTGTCGGTGGCTGAAGTACCTGTGGGAGAACGGGGTAAAGGCTCACATCAACCTCTATAACTCATATATTATGCAGCCAGACAGGTTTAAATGGCTCAGAGAGGGACTGCGAGTTTATCATGGAAGACTTGAGGGGATAAAAGAGCATGTGGATGGAGGAGGAATGAGTTGTTGCTGGAAGACAAATTACAGCCACAATTATTTTACAGCTAGACACATTTTTAATCCCTCATACCTGTAGCAGTGGCCGTGAAACTTCCTCCAGCCGTGCTCACATCCTTCTATGTCTGCAAGGGGGAAAATGAGAGAATTAAAATCATTTCCTCTTAAATCTGGAGCTGAGGGGGGCACAAGCGTTCTATCTCATTTGGCAAATAATGACCAGAACGTGTCATTTTGAGAAACTCAAACACATGTATTACAATTATTTATGTTCTTATTTTCAGTTCATGTGGCCTTCTCTGTGCTCTATCGGCATTCATTAATAACACCAAAGCATGCACATCCATTTATAACCGCAAAGGTTGGATATTCATTAATCCTCATTACTGTGAGAACACACACACACACACACAGATCCAGCTTTAGACCCGGAGGTGGATGTGACTGGTGAATCAGCTGGTCTGAGTGTGAGAGAGTGAGTCTGAGACACACACACACACACACACACACACACACACACACACACACACACACACACACACACACACACACACACACACACACACACACACACACACACACACACACACACACACACACACACACTCACACACACATACACACACACACACACACACACACACACACATGAATGTCAACCATCACTCAGTGGTTTGTGTTTATTCCTCATACTGAGCACGCTCCACACACCAGTGTGTGTCCTCTTTGTGTTGAAAAATGAGCTGATGAAAATCTTCGATATGCTATCAACACAGACTCTAGATTTTGTTCTTTTCTTTCATACCAGACTGAATAAATATATTTATGGTTTAGTGAGGGCTGAGAGCGGTTTACATTTAGACAGGAGCTTCGATCTGTTGCCGTGTTCTGGATTATTTCTCTGCCTCAAAGCTTTTGATTTTAACAGTTTAACTTTTAACTTTTCTAGTTTTTATTTTATTTTGTTTTTTTTGGGGGGGGTGGGGTTACTTTCTTTTTGCAAAATTTTTAGAATTAATTTTAGTTTGATCACTGTTAATTGTTCAAAACACTAGTGCACATGAAGCTGCTAGAGTCATTAGATTATTTTAAGACCTAGAAGGATTTTCTGACAGTTAATCAATCACTGAACCTCCTGTTATGTTATATTTCATGTACATACCTAAAAACAATACAGATTTTATTTTGTCACTGTTGTGTCATTTACAAGATTAGAAAAATCTTAATCTAGTTTCTTTACGTCATTTTTCCTACACATAAATATGTTGAATATTTAGTTTTATCACATTACTAAATAAAGATTCAAAGTTTATTTTCACTTATAATGGGAAGTACAAGAATTACACAAGATGCTGTTCCTCACCCGGTCACTGTCAGTACAAAATAACTAAAACTGTGTAGTTACAGTAGTCCCTCGCCATAACGCAGTTCAGCCTTCGTGGCTTCGCAGTTTCGCTAATTTTTTTCAATCCATCAATAAAAGGCGACAACAATTATCCCATTAATGCTAATTTCATTCAGAAAATGGGAAAGATAAGTGGATGGAACAAAAGAACCAATCAGCAATTGGGTTAGGCAGGACTAGAAAAGAAAAGAACCAATCATAGTCCAGATCCGGCTGCTGAACAAGCTAACGCTAACCATATTTGGTATAAATTGTTAACAGTTGAACAATTTATGTCTAAAATGAGAACATGTTTGTGGCTGAGAGGAAAAGCATTAAATGTGACCATTTGAAAAGATTTTGATCGGTGAGTAAGCCTACACATCCAGGGTCTCTCCTGGTTTTAAATGTAGCAGCAGTAGCAGCGAGAAGCAGTAGGAGAGGAGTGGAATGCTGGACCGAACCAAATTGCACACAGAGTGGCGCATCTGGTTGTTTGTTGTTTTGGTGGTGCTGCTATGGCTGTTATATAATAAGTATTGCTAGCGGTGAGGAAAAAAACATTCAGGCAGCCCATAAAAACGTTCAGGTAGCTCACCTAAAGGAAGACTAATAAATACACTTGAAAATACATAATTTGTACCCTTAGCGGAATTTAGCATGTACTTTTTTTGGGGGGGGGGGGGGGGGGGGGGGGTTACAGCACATTAAGAGTCTTTACACAAGAGGGGAATGTGTGAAAATGTTAATGCCTGTCTGGGAAAAGGGTATAAAGTGTATAGTGAGGGGGTTTTTCAGCCTTAAAACTTATATAATAATTGTAAAAAATAAAACTGGCCACTTACTGGATTTGACCTTTTAGAACATAACCCCTGCAATCAACAAGGGACCACTGTACTGTAGGTCATTAGGATCTTTTAACTCAACTGTGCCCAGCGGCTGCAAAAGGCTAGATGGGGTTGTTGCTCCCCATCCAGGTAGTCTTGATTCTAGATCCCTCCTCGTCTGGACTGTAATTACTAACGCCCAGTCACTTTTAGTAGCTAGCGGGAGTTTCATCTCCACAGTTGTGAAGAAGTACTTTAGTTGTTATCTAGTCTGCACTTTGGTAATTCCTAGAACCTAAAGATGGATTTTGTCTGAGAGAGGAACAGGATCCCCGTCCAGTCAACCTGAAGAAGAGTTTAATCGACAGAAATGGTTGGATTTCATCTTCGGGAGCTCTCAAAACCAAGCCAGTATGTTTTGAATGTTTTTCATGATTTCACAGACTGCTTATTAAACCACCATCAGTACCGGAATGGGATTTTAGATGGATTACACCTTCGAACTGGCGCAATTCCCATGTTAAAACCACCCAATGGATATGAATGTGTGTTAGCAGCGTGAGCCTCCAAGGGGGGATGGCTGAGAAGAACATGTCGGCTTGAATCTGCAGTCTCTGGGTCTGCTGCCATTTACTGTTGTGGAGCTCACACAGGGGCAGATGGTGTTTGATTGAATCCTAGCACCGTTTTTACAGGTTGAAGTAATGTCTCACAAAAATACTTATATTTAAAATATTACTCTGATGTAACAATCTCAAGAAACCAAACCTTTCCTAACTGTGTGTGTGTGTGTGTGTGTGTGTGTGTGTGTGTGTGTGTGTGTGTGTGTGTGTGTGTGTGTGTGTGTGTGTGTGTGTGTGCGTGCGTGCGTGTGTGTGTGTGTGTGTGTGTGTGTGTGTGTGTGTGTGTGTGTCACAGCTGTTTCTACTCATCTTCAGTGCCATCCTACTCCACAAGGCTCTCATTCATGTCTATTTCTGTGAGGGGGTCCAGTCTCTGGATTCCTTGTAGGGTCTTCCCAATCGTGTTACACAAATAGGAGATGCTTGACCTCCAGCAGCTGTAATCAATCAGCTCTGGGTTGTACAGCACCCCCAAACCTACTCTGTGCCTTTTCTACAAAGAAACATTAAGAAATGGTCTAAATGTCTTCATGACACCTGAGAGGACAATTAGCTCATGCACAGTCAGACTACTTAGAAGTTATTGATGAAAACCTTAATTTAGAGGTTAACCATCTTTAAGGAAATGTTTCAACATTCATGGGTCATAAATAAATAACATTGTGTTGCTTTATTGAGTGCTGATATAGAAAAAACCTTGAAGTGAACAAGAGATTAACAATTTATTTAACCAAAATTGTGTTTGTCAGATGTTAGAAAATAACTGCATCTAATTTCATAAAATCCTGTAAAAATCCTTTCCTGCTTATATAAGTAGTCTACTGATGAAATAAAGGAGTTATTTAAAAAGCAGTGTTGCATGACTGCACAGGAGAGATGTAATACAGATTTCAACCATGTGTGTAGATTCTCTACCAGGAATCTGTATGATTGTGCCAGATCCTGCCACCCTGCAGCCCTGTGATGCACCAACACATTCAGATAGGGAACTAACTGGGATTATTTTCATCTGCACAACAAACTACAATTATTTTAAATTGAGATTCAGAAGAGTAATCACCACTTTAGTCACACTGAATTATATGGTACTGCACAGTCCAGTGTGTATGAACAGGTGATGCGTAATGAATCCCCTCACACGATTTGGAGCCAGCTGATATTTCTCCATCCGTGCAACTGCACTGCCTCACCTTTCTCACACGTATCTCCCCCGTAGCTCGGCAGGCAAAGGCAGAGGAAGGAATCAATCTTGTCAATGCAAGTTCCTCCATTTTCACATGGCTCGGACTGGCAGTCGTCAATGTCTGCAGCGGTGAAAAAAAGGCAGCGAGAACAGAACAGTTTCAGATCCCATTAGGCTTCAAATTCAACTAATGTATTCTACTTCACCAGTGTTCACAAAGACAAAAATGTAAGAAAAAAAATCACATGCAGCTATTTAAATTCTGAAAGGGAAACGGTCCGCTTATTAGTGCTGATTTAAATACTGAAATGTGCTCTTACTGGTGAGTGCATTATCATAATTCAGACAGGGTGTGAGCAGAATGCACACACACTCATTTCACCAAGTTTCCTAATCCTCATTGTCTTGCAGAAAAAATACTCTAAAGGCTTTGAGGTGTTTGCAAAGCTTAAACATTTTATTTTGCATCATGCAGATAATCTTTTTTGTCCCTGTAGATTGAATTTATTTAATTTAAAAATAGCTGTTTTCATGTTACTTTTACTGTAATGCAGCTCCAGTACAGCTATAAAATTGTTGCATGAGTCAGCAGAGAGGCTGTGCATGGCATGGGGGTCTGGGTTCAACCCCTCTAGTTTTGGCAGAGGTCTCCCCTGCTGAGGCGGCTTTCATCAGCAGCAGAAACCAATTCAAGAGCTGCAGCTTGGATGGCTGTGCTCTAACGGCTCCGTGGAACTAAAAGCAGGCAAAAAGAACATTTCTCTGCAGAGATCAATAGAGTATATCACTTTTTCATGGTAAACAGAGATCATGCATTCTTTATCACGGTGGGGTTTGTGGGATTCGAGACAGCAAAGTAAGCGCAGAGATGGCAGAAATCTATAAAACACACAGCCAATGAGAAAGAAGAAAGCTTCTTACAAGATCAAGATGAATTCAAAGAGTTTCCTCACATCTTAACCGTTACTTAGTCTCAAGCAAAAAGAGGCTGAGCAGTGAAAAAGGTCAGCGTGTGAGAGGAGCTGAATGTGTGAGACTGATCAAACTCCAACGACCTTTAGCCTCATCCAAGACTTCCACATTTCATCGTCAAACATGGTGAGCGCTGGGAGCTCTAAAGATATCCAGCTGATTGCGGCTGGATTTGAAAGTAAGCTGCAGTGTGCAAAAGTGAGGTTATTCTTTAATCTTTTTAAACCAAAAAGTTGTGATTTTATTTATTTATTTTAATTTTATAATGTGACTTTAATCTGCAGTCAGCTGCAGCTAATCTGATTGTGCAGCTCTTTAAAGATGAATGAAATCAAGTAAAGTGGTTTGTTTTTGTCCAAAGTGAAAACTGATTCATCTTTTGTTCGATTAATTCTGTTTGGTTTTACAAATCTATAATTTTAGGAGGATTAGTCGCAAATAATTTCCATTTTTTAACTCTCACTGAAAATATGAAACTAACTGGATGTTGACTTTTTCCAGCTGTGAGCAACTTCCTGTGAGGCTGGCTGTTTCATATTTAAGTGATGTTATGTGTTTTGTTTTCATAGATACAATAGGCAGTGAAAAGGACATAAACAAAATAAAATAACACTAAATATGTTTTATCATTGAAAGGAGACTCATCATTTGTCCTTCTGAGTTTGACACATTTAAAAATAACATTTCTTTGAGTCGTGGCCAATTGCAAACATCAAGAATAATAGAAACATTATTGATGGAAAATCAGATGATTTGGGGAATGTCACATGTTCATCTGTATAGAAGTAACATAAAATGCTGCAGGGTGATGTTTCATCTGCTTCTATTACGTATGAAATTCATTGAATTATTGGCAGAAAATCAAATGTGAGATTTAAGGCACCAAATAAAAAATGGCACCAAAAACCAGTAAAGGATCAACTTACTTTAAATATTTAAGAAACTCTATTTTTGTTTTAGGGTTATCACCCTACCATCTCCATCATCCTTCTCTGACAGTGATAACCTTTGAACCCCTCGTCTCAGACAGTGTGACCTTTGACTGCAGCCGTTTCACATATGGCGTGCTTTTTAACTGTTTGGGTGTTTGTTTGCAGTGTGCGATTGTATGAGTGACCCACCGATCTCGCAGTTCTCTCCAGCATATCCTTGTGGGCAGTAGCAGCTGTAGCCAGTTCCCTGAGGAAGGCACTTTCCACCGTGCAGACATGGGTTTGCCACGCAGGGCTCCACCTCAACTAAACGAGACAGACGGGCATGGGGGATGGGATTAATTAGACACGAAATGAGTCACTGTTTTGGTTTTTTTCCCTAATAAGTATACAAACTTGACACAAATTTCCATGGTAATGCCTTGGAAATGACTTTAAATCAGAGTAAAGCTGAAATCTGTGCCACGTTAATTCTGCCACACTAATTTTCCATCTGTGCAGTTCAGCCTGAAACCAACAGTAACAACGCATGCATACCCATGCCCCCACCCCTTTCTTTTCAAAAAGATCCAAAGCCAGAGAGCGTCAACCCCACCATCCACTCACAGCTGCTGTTGTCATGGTTACCATATGGAAAGCAAGCCTCGGATCACTCCACCAGGCATGGTGGGCAGCGTGAGAACTTCAGACATTAGCCATCCTCAACAGAAACGGGCAGACCTCCCGCTGAGAGCTTCGTTTTCCACTATTCACTCCCTAAACGTCTGCGTGTGTGTGGTCTCCCTGCACAAACGTGCATTTCCATATCAATTCACACACCACCACGTGTTTTCCCCCCCGACCTGCTCGTTATTGCGACTTAAGGTCTTTGAAAAGCGCCGCTGTTCAGCCAGGATGCAGGGGGAAAAAAAGAGGCTCAGCTGTGGGAGGCTTTGTTCTGCTACAGCTCCGTCTCTGACACCGGAGGCTGCTTATGGGGGGTGGAGGGTGTCTGCATGTGAAGGTTTGTCTGTTTGGGTTTACATGACATGGTGAGTAAAAAATCTGTAAAATTAAACTTCTGATTGATGTTCCTCAACTAGAAACAGAAAATTCAAGAGCCCATTTGTGGAATTATCTCCACAGATGGTTCAAAAATGGTTCAAGGAAAGCAAAAATGCATCCTCATGCGAAGGTCTTTGATGGCTAACCACTGTAAAAATGATTTGTGATCTTTCCCTCTGATTATTCTTGGAATTCCGTTGAAGTCCGGTGTCGAGAAACAGCCGTGTGTATTTCATTTCATACACATCAATCTCTGCCGGCATGCATTTGCACTCTTCTCATCAGTCAAGGTCACGGCACGCCTTGACAGATATCAACTGTTGTGACACAATTTACGGCAGAATCTGTGTGTGTGTGTGTGTGTGTGTGTGTGTGTGTGTGTGTGTGTGTGTGTGTGTGTGTGTGTGTGTGTGTGTGTGTGTGTGTGTGTGTGTGTGTGTGTGTGTGTGTGTGTGTTAGATAAACCCTGCCCGATTGGTCGTTCATTAAAGCAAGTGGTGCAGAAAAATCAATAGTGCGTAGAAGGAGCAGACACGGTGGACTGTCCTCTGCTCTGTCAACACAAACAACAACAATCAGCTGGAAGCAGCACCGTCCAGCTCAAAAGTTGGCAGAGACATGACAGCAGGAGGTTATTAACAATATGTGTCGGTGTCTCTTCACCCGTCACATCAACTAACTGCAGCTGCATAGAACGTTGGAATACAAGCAAGAAGAACTCAGAACTTACAGAAATACGTCCGACCTGACTGCTGCTGGAGGTCCTGCTTGTTTCTTTTCACTCTCGTTGGTTTAACTGAACCATAAATTGCTCTATGATCCACTCAGGTGTGTAAATATAAACCACTGTGTAACTCCCACTAAACTACGGCTGGACTTTGTGCACAAAAAATAAACCAAAGCTGTCTAATCTCCCGAGATATGCAACAATTTTGTTTTTGTTTGTGCAGCAAAGATATCAGTGTGTTTGTGTGTTTATTGCCCTCTGCTCACACAGCTCCAGTGTCTCTCAGTCAATCAATCAGAGCTCATACTGAGCACAGATGCTTCCATCCCCGGCTCCTCGTCGATACAGGTTACAGATGTTCTCCGTCTGGCTCCTCGACGCTTCCACGAGCAGGCAGCGAAAAATAAATAAAGAAACCAGCGTAGGGATGTGTGATACCACGATGCCCATGGGGCTTTTAAACACTCAGCGATAGGATGTTTCCTGCGTTGGCTCTCATTATCAAGCAAGAAATGAGTGGTGAAAGCAGGTGGTCACCCGGACGCCGCGCTGAGACATGCTGAGCTGCAGACTTAATCACTTGATTGTGGACGGTGGCAGGTATGTGGTGTGTCGGCGTGTGGAGGGAATAAAAACACACGCACCTTAAGGGAGAAACCATTGAATTGTTTTTGAATAAATGAGCCAGAGGCAAGGTCAGAGAAAAAGAAAAAGCAGACTTAAAGGATAATTCTCCCCCACCTTCCTTTTTCTGTGTGCTTGTCAGAGTGAGTCATGATTAGGACAGAAATATCTTTGTGTTTCTGCTGGTAAACACAAACCGTGCAGCAGAGCTGGGATTTAAATGCTGCACATTTTTAAAGGATATTCACTGCTCCTAGATCTGAATGGATGAAATGTTCTTATTTAATACTTTGGTCTTTGCATAGATGGATGTGCTGACAACAAAATCACACAAAATTTTATAATGAAAATCAAATTTATCAACCCACGGAGGTCTGGATTTGGAGTCACACTGAGATTAAAGTGGTACAACACACTTCAGGCTGATCCAACTTTGATGTAATGTCTTTAAAACAAGTCAAAATGAAGCTCGGTAGTTTGTGTGGCCTCCACGGGCCTGTCTGGGCATGCTCCTGATGAGGTGGCAGATGGTCTCCTGAGGGATCTCCTCCCAGACCTGGACTAAAGCATCCACCAACTACTGGACAGTCTGTGCTGCAACGTAGCGTTGGTGGATGGAGTGAGACATGATGTCCCAAAAGTGCTCAGTTGGATTCAGGTCTGGGGAACAAGCGGGTCAGTCCATAGCATCAGTGCCTTTGTTTTGCAAGAACTGCTGACACACTCCAGCCACATGAGGTCTAGCATTGTCTTGCATTAGGAGGAACCCAGGACCGACTGCACCAGCATAAGGTCTCACAAGGGGTCTGCAGTCAGGCTACCTCTGGTGAGCACATGGAGGGCTGTGCGCCCCCCCAAAGAAATGCCACCCCACAACATTACTGACCCACACCAAACCGGTCATGCTGGAGGAAAATGCAGGCAGCAGAACATTCTCCACAGCCTCTCTAGACTCTCACGTCTGCATGTGCTCAGTGAGAACCTACTTTCATCTGTGAAGAGCACAAGGCACCAGTGGTGAATTTGCAAATCTTGGTGTTCACTGCCAAATGCCAAACGTCCTGCACAGTGTTGGGCTGTAAGCACAGCCCGCACCTCTGGACATCGGGCCCTCATAACACCCTCATGGAGTCTGTTTCTGACCGTTTGAGCAGACGCATGCACATGTGTGGCCTGCTGGAGCTCATTGTGCAGGGCTCTGGCAGGCAGCAGCCCTGATACTGGATTGCTGCCCTGCTACGGCCTCCTTCACATGATGTACTACCCTGTCTCCTGGCAACTCCAAACTCTGAACACTACGCTGACAGACACAGCAAACCTTCTTGCCACAGCTCGCTCGGATGTGCCATCCTGTATGAGCTGCTCTACTTGAGCCACTTGTGTGGATTGTAGACTCTGTCTCATGCTACCATAGAGCGAAAACCCCACCAGCTTTCAAAAGTGACTAAAAAAGAAGTGTTTGGTGGTCACCACCTGCAGAACCACTCCTTCATTGGGGATGTCTTGCTAATTGCCTATAGTTTCCACCTGTTGTCTATTCCATTTGATTTCCCATTAGCACGACTGACTTGGAGGTACATTGTCTTGTTTAGGTGTTCCCTTTACATTTTTAGCCGTGTATTTTTACACACATCGGTTGTTTGATGCACGGGCATCGCCACCGTAAACAAAAAACTGATGACTACAGCGAATAAGACAATTGTTTCATGTTTTTGACAAACCTCCATTTTTCATTATTTCAGAATCATTTAAAAAGTATATTAAAGTAATAATCTCATAATTTTTTCTGCTTTCAATGTACTTTTAAATGGCCAAATGTTATATGAGGCATGCAAAACTGAAATAAAGTTTAAGAGAAAAGTTGAATTTTATTTTTGTCCCGTTCTTGTGTTTGTTTGTCGTGTGCTGGATAAAACTGTCACCTCACCGCGTCTTTAAACAGAACAAAATGCGTTTGAAAACTGAATAAATGAATTCTATTTGCTGTGATCTTTTAAGTATCTAGATCCATTTTGATATTTTAATAAGCTCCATTTTACTTGGATGTCATTTGAAAGAGATGTGCTCCTTTTTTAAAGTGTTTCACAACTTCATGAGCTTTTAAATAAGCCCTGATGTAAATACAACATTACAACATCAAAGCACTCTTTTATAAGTGTTCTTTAAAGATAAGGCATGCTCCAGCTGATCTTATAGGGGTATAGTGAGATGTTTGCCTGTAACACTCCCCTGTGTTTTTGGAGATTGTTGCAAACACAGAAATTACACTCAAAAACCCTGGAGGAGCACGTCAGCATCGTCTGAAGTACAGGAAACTGTTTACTGTTTACACACAGCTGAGCGCAGACCAACATTTGATCCGTTTTATCCTCAATTTTATTTTTTTCAGCTGATTTTTGCATGTATAATAATTATATATTAATGGTCTTGGCATGAGCTGTACTTAACTGAAAAATAATGCACAAAAATACTAACAGCAAGAGTCCTCTTGGCAATACTCTGTTATTTATCTAGATGTGTTGGAGCTCTAATGCTCTATGATGAGCCATCAGATGACTTAATGTGCAGAAATTCTCAGAAAGCAGCAACCAGTAAAATGTTTATGCAGAAAGAAGAAAGTACTCTAGATTAACCCTTTGATGCATGCATCTTTAGTTGTGAATGAAACAAATTTCAACAAATATTTTTTGTAACATTTAATAATTTACAAATAATTTATTACATGTCCACCTCAGTGGACAGTGTGCATTCTGAACATGAAATGTGTTGGCTTGACTTACTGAAGTCCAAGTGGAGGGGCTCACATGCAATAAAGTCATCAACAGCTGCAGCTTACTAGCAAAAAAATAAATAACTATTTTGAGTACCTGTCCACTGCAGTGACCATTATGCATCAAAGGGTTAACTGCCCAAATTCTCCCTGTTTATGGTAAAAAAATAGTGGTTTGCAAAAGAAAAATGCCATTATAAATACATTTATAATGATGTAAAAAGATATTATTGAAGGCAGATGTATTTTCCACTATTGTTACAGTCTTTAATTCATTATCAACAATGTAATTTAACCCCTGACTAGAATTAACATAAATAAATAGTTATTATTAATAAAAAGAGCCTCACCAGTTGGGCTGAGAGTTGTGGTGCTGATGTTGGCTCCTCCTTTGTGATTCTCCTCCTCCATGCTTCCTGGTAAGAGAGCCCCTGAACCCACCGAATGAGACCAGGTGGACTCCTCGTCGTCTTGAGGTCCAGGTAGAGTCAAAGGATCACCTACAGAGGTGTTCACAGCCACACCGTCTTCTGTGACCCTAGTCGGTGTAGTCAGGGAGTCGGTGGTGCTGTCACTGACCTCTGTTTGAGGAGATGCAACCGATCCAACCGATCCAACCGTCTGGGTCTGTGATGTGAGGCTGATGTGAGGCTGTGATGTGAGGCTGATGTGAGACTGTGATGTGAGGCTGATGTGAGGCTGTGATGTGAGGCTGATGTGAGGCTGTGATGTGAGGCTGATGTGAGGTTGTGATGTGAGGCTGATGTGAGGTTGTGATGTGAGGCTGATGTGAGGCTGTGATGTGAGGCTGATGTAAGGTTGTGATGTGAGGCTGATGTGAGGTTGTGATGTGAGGCTGATGTGAGGCTGTGATGTGAGGCTGGAAGGAGACAGAGAGGGGGAGTAGGAGGAGGTCTGGGTATAGGACGTGGGTGAGGTAATGATTGGAGGTGAGGAAGATGGAAGGGAGGGGGATGGAGGCAGAGAAAGGATTTCTAAAAGGGAGTCTGACTGTGATGCGTAAGAAGAAGATGTAGCGGTTGTAGGAGATGGGGATGGAGAGATGGACAGAGTCTGAGACGATTCCTGTGAGGTGGACAGAGATGGGTTTTCTGCTGCTGATGAAGTGGAAACATTACTCTCTGTCCCGGCTGTGGTCACTGCAGTGGTCTCCAGAGGACTAACGGTGGTCATAGTGATGGTGGTGGTGGTGGTCCTGGACTGTCCCTTCCTGTGACCCCTCTCTCTTGATCTTTCTCTAGGCCTTTCTCTTGGTTTACTTGTTCCAACTGGACGACGTGAGACTTGAATCTCTCCTTTTGCTTCTGCACCAGTAATTTCTCCACTCCCTTCCTCCTCTCCTTTCACCTTTTCTTCTCCCCTGTTCTTGTCCTCCCCTCTGTTCTTCTTCCCCCTTCCTCTCCCTCCTCTTCCACTAGCTCTGGATGTCACCGTCTCTTCTCTCTTGTCCACCTGCTGGGTTGTCGTCTCCGCATCAACAGTGATCCAGGGTTCTTTAGTGGAGGTGATTTCAGGGGACAGACTGGAGGGAGCAAATGTGCGAGTCTCTGAGGTTTCCAGGATCCTGACGCTCTCTGCGGTCGGAGAGTTGCTGAAGGAAGTTAAAGAAGATGTCAGGTGAGTGGTATGGTCCTCTTCAGGTGAGGTGGTTTTTTCCACAGATGGACTGCTGAACCATGATGTTCCCCAGGAAAACAAACCTGTGGAGGGCACAATAAACCAAACACAAGGACAAGTGTCAAAGCCGGGACTTAAAATCAAAATGAAAATGATCCTGCAGATTCTTCCCGCTCTGCAGAAGAGCTCCAAAACAAACACCGGTAAGATGACAGGGATTTCCGTCCAAGGCTTTTCTCTGTACTGTAGCAGCTCTGTAGGAATTCAGCAAAGCTCCACGGATAAGGTGAGGGCAAACACAGAAGAGGATTGATGGTAAAAAGAAATGAATCAATTAAAATAATTAAAATGAAATAGAACTTGTAGAATAGAAACTGAATTTGGAACAAACACGTTGGAATATAAAAAGGACCGCGCTTTGGTCGCCCTAAGTCTGTGGAATAGTTTTAATTTATGGACTGTGGAGACATTTTAATTCCAGAGCATCAAACCCTTATTAAATATGGCATCTGATTTTTCTCTTACTTGTTTTTTTACACATATGTTGTAGTGGGTTCTACTGTTGTATTTTACCTGAGCTGTAATAGCTTGCTTTTATTTAAATAAATAAATTAGAAGTTTGAAGATAACTGTAGCTAAAGCTTTTGTCTTTGTAGAATAATGAAAAAAACAACTGTGAAACGTAATATGGTTAAGCAGTGTTTAATACTTCATTTAATAAGTTATTAATGTTTAAAGTAACAATGTGTATTTTACCTGGCGATAGGGGGCAGTGCATACCTCAATCATTGCAAGCAAGCGGTATTTTTGTGTTTGAGGAAGACCTTACCAACGGATGGCCATTAGCGTTCTTCAGAGTTTGCCGATGTTGGTGGCGTCACCAGGTTTTGTTGGTGTGTTTATGTTGTGTTTTTTCATTGTTGCTATTAGTTTTTTTTTCTCTGTTATGCCTTTGATGTAAGGAAGAGTTATCACTGGTTTCAGTTCTGGTTTTTCTGGATTTCTTGTTCTGTGATTTGGTTGTTCTTTTCTTTCTTTCTGTTGTTGTTTGTTGTTTTCCTTTGTTTATTGCCCATGTCGGGTATCCACAGGTTTTTAAAACATTCCTATAGGTTGGTCCTCTTGTTTTTGACCTCGTTCTTTAGTTATTATGTTCGCTCGGTGGTATAATGTTCTGATCACTGGCATTTTATGTATGGTAGGGTGTTCTGATGTCCATAATACATTTTTGTCTGTGTGTGTGTTAGTTTTCTGTATGTGTTTATGTTCAGGGTCCCTTGTTCTTGTCTGCTTATCTTCATGTCCATGAACGTCATGCTGCCTTTGATTTCTTCCTCATGTGTACATTTTATGTTGTTCGTGTCGTTGATATTGTTCAGGTGTTCTGTTAGTGTCTCTATTTGTCCTTAGTAATCGAATCGTCTGTAAAACAAGGTCAAAATAACATGTTTGCTGTGTTGAAAAAGAATCATGATGCAGTTGGATAACACACACAGTATGAACATACATAGGATGGACATTAGGTCAAAAATACCTGGGAGCACAACCTCCAGCGAGATGACAAACACATCAGACTCCCTTTCGTCACTGGCAACGAGTCAAGAGGTAAATGCGTAAAACAACGTATATGAATGGCAAAGGTTTTCTAACTGTTTCTTACAAATGAGTTAATGCATTTTGTCCTCATGGCTTCCCGTAGAAGGAAGCATGACGTCACCCAGAGACTTAGACCCGCTTCCATGAATATTAGAGGATTTTAGACCAGATTTTTATGGTTAAATTTTTGAAGTCGCCAATATTTTTCAACAACTGGGCATCATTTAATTCATTCTCAACAACATTTCGATGGATGTTCCCAGAGATTAACCCTAAAAACTACACATTGTCACCTTAATAGTATGTAACATTACTAAAGGGTCCCATATTGTAAAGTGTTACCGAAACATCCGCCTGGAAGGTCCGATTCTAAACTGTGGGTTAAAAAAAACATTTTGAAACTCGTGATGACAGATTAGGCAAATACCACCTAATCATAAACTTTTAAAATAAAGAACAAAATCCTGAGCACAAACATCTCCATGTCAGAGCCAGAAGCTCAGCCGTCTCACAAACTGCCTCAGAATTAAATCAGCAGCTCCATAAGACACTTTGTGAACAGCACTTCCTACATTCACTGCCAACGCATAAACCTCTGTAACCCCCCCGGACTCGTAGCATGAGAAATACGGAGGAAAGGAGTCTGGATGAGATGAATTTCACTGTTTTGTAATGCATGGATTCATGTTTGAAGGAAACTTGATTTGCTCAAACACAAATTCCCCAAGACTGTTGCACAACCGTAAAACACGTGTTGCAAATCGAGATGAAGCCGCAGACACGATCTGTTCAGTCAAAATGGTTCTCTGGGAAGGAAAACGCGTAACCCCAAACGGCCTTTTTAAATGATCGGTAAACGGGTTCCAGCTGAAGGACAGACGGTGAAAAATACAAGGAAACAGTTCTTATATTATGTTGTTTAAATCTCATTTAATTCAAACAGTGATCATGTTGATGATTATGCTATTATTCATATCTAATTATAAGTATGTCATAGTAAAGCAGCAATTTTACCAAGCCATTTTCATCAAAAGGTCAATTAAGTGAGAGGTTTTATGTTTACTGTACCATGCAACTTGTATCTTGGTGCTGGGAGAGCTGATGCTGGATTGCAGCTCGATCTCATCACCTCCTATCAATCACAGCTTGTTAGTGGCTCGACGGGAGAGGCAACATCAGAGAAAGGTCAGCCTGACCTCGGTTTGTCTCCAGACTCACTGCTGCTTTTGATATTGTTACAGAAGATTACACCTCATCTGTCCTTTACTCCACTGATGTAACTGCTCTCTTAAACGTATTAAAGCTGCTTGAAATACTGTAATTTTTCATCAGCATCTCATTAAGCTGTAACCCTGTGAGGCAGTCGTGCCAAAAATGCACCTTTGCAAGACACGCAAACGTCTTTAGGGCCTCACGGCAGCTCAAATGGGTTCTGCAAAGGAAACACGTGCTTCTTCATTCATCAACCTCGAGTCTTTTCATGTCTCGCTCCTGCAGGTGCTTTTACCAACCCAGACATCCTTTAATATGAAATCCACTTTAAGGATGCAAGTGGAGTGAGAAGGTGAGGAGGAACAAATTAGGAAATGAGATGAACAGCCCATTCTCCTGATTCCACTTCATACAGAATGATCTATTTTACTAGCAAACTTGTAAAAATTGATCCTTTTTACACCAGAATGTGTGAAAGTTCCAGTGTGAGTTCTGAAAAGCAAAGTTTGAAGTCCTGAATGATGCAAATGCTTTAAAATGAATTAATTTACCAGGCGAAGCAGGACTTGAAGGATTTGACCCCACATCAGTTGCTTTAGTTGCAATCTCCTCTTCCTCGATGTGCCCACTTGGTCTCCGAGTTCCCTCCTCATCTCCGGTCCCCACCAGGTAGTTCCAAGGTTTCCAAATGGACTTGACAATCTTTGAGATTACCTGGCAACGAGTTAACAGATGAGCTGGTCTGATTCAGAATTTTGAGAGTCTGATCTCACAGGTGAAACCTACCTCTTTCTCAGCAGGAGTCGGCCGAACTGGAGGTCGAATGAACTCCTCCGAGTTGGGCCCGGGCTCCATCAGCTCTCCCCAGTCGAAGGAGCTCTGTCCTGGGATCAGCTGAAGGGTCACAAATGACACTGAGGACTCTGAGGTCCAGGGATCTGTGGCTTCAGATGATTGGGTAAACAATCAGTCTTGTCATATTTGGAAAACCGTTCAAGCCTCAGGATAAGTAGAGCCTTACAGTTCCTGTGAGGGGTCTCCTCTTCCTCCAGGTCAACCAGTCCTGTCCAGTTAGAAGGTGAGACCTCGCTGTCCTTTGAGGAACCTAGCAGGAAGATGCAATGAAAATCACATTTGTGGCCAATAATGATCGAATTCTGGTGTGTTTTCTACTTAATCAGCTGGTTTAGGACGTGGTGCCAGTGGTGGGTGAATGTAAAACCTGCGAGCGTGGTGGTTTGCTGTGCCGTCAGATTGGAGCTGTCTGTTGCTGCAGACTCAGCATCACTTGAGCCTGTGAGATAGCTCCAGGGCTTCCACGGGGAGGTGTAGATCTCAGAGTCAGAGCCCGTCTCCTTCACTTTCCCTAAAACAAATTAAAGAGATGTTTGCTTACCCGGGTCCCTTAAATGGCTAAAAGCTTGATTAGTTTTTAATGATTAACAGCAGTATTAACTAAAACAGACAGCTGAACTGGAAACTTTGATTTGTTACCATGCTCTCAGGTTTCTCCCTTTTGCACAGCGTTTGTCAATCCTGCAGTTTCTCTGACATGATTAGAAATGGGTGTTGCCATAGCTACAACAGCAGTGATGATTTTTATTAGTGTTTTACTGCATAAATGGCCAACAAGGCTTCAGCTAGATGGTGTATCTGTCACGTTTTATCTCAATAGCTTGGTTTCTTTTAATTATTTGTGTTATTTCTCCAGTCAGTCGGTTGATACCTCGGTAGCAGTAGGCATCATATAACAATGAGGTGTTGTCAGCCGTGGAGTTGGGTGTGACGGTGTGGACTCCCAGCTGGCTGCCTCCACACTCCGGACGAGGCCAGGACACTGGGTAGCGAACGCTGCCATCAGACAGCCATCCTGGGGCACAGCTGTCCAGACCGGCCCTCCACGCCAGGTAGAGCTGGCCCGGGGTGGCCAGTTGGCCCCCGAGGGACACACAGCGGTCTGAGGCTGAGGACAGCGACAGTCTGCCTGGGACAGAGGAGTGAAACACCTCGCCTGGAGGAGAACGACATCAGATCCAAGCAGATGTTTAGTTCTCAGTGAGTAAACTTCATACCACCTGTCTGAAATGTTCCATACGGTGAAACACTTGGAGACTTTTTCTGATTTGTCTCCAGATTCTACTAATTCAGAGTTTATTGCTGCAGTATACATTTTAATTTAAGACTCATTTTCATGCTTTCAAGTTTAAATAATTAACAATATAATTTTTTCTTTTTTCTATTAGCAAAGTTAGCCAAATGAGGTAAAAACTGTTTAATTTAGGGTACCAGTAGAACAGAAAACAATCATCTTAAGTCGGCTTTTATCACTGTTTCATTCTAATTAGTTACAGGTAACTTTATTTTTATTCACATTTAAAATAATAGAGAAAAAAATGTTTATTTTTTTTACCTTTTGTTGTTTTTTTTATTTGTTCTCATTAATAACATTGCATTCACTTATTTCCTGGTTTTGATTTATTCCTTTTTCCCATTTCAGCACTATTTTTTCCACAAATTTTTAATTATGAAGCAAATCAAAGTAAAATAAATCAACCTAATCCAACCAGGGAAAGTTTAATCTATAGTATCTTATAATATGGTGAAGAAAAAACTAATCAGTTCTAACAAAGGAAACGGTTCATAGTGGTGTTTTTGAATATGTAGCACTGTAGAACTGAAAAACTGTTTTAATTTCTTATTTACTACTGTATAGCTTTATTCCTAAATCACTTTTAAATAAAAAATTAATATGTCATAAATTAGGAAAAAAACCTTATTTAAAATAAAGCTAATTACTTGTAAATGTAACCTTTCAAACACATTTTTCATGTTAAAAAAATAACTTTTTTGTATATTTCACAAAATTAATCACTTTTCTTTGTTTTATTATCAAAATAAAAGATAAACCAAAACTTAATGGCTGATAAACTCACTGTATTTATTCCATTTCTATCCATAGACTTTTTATGGATGATCAAGACTATGATTTGTGTTTGTGTGTGTGTGTGTGTGTGTGTGTGTGTGTGTGTGTGTCCTTGATTCAATTCAAGCTGATTTATACAGAGCCAAATCACAAGAGTCGTCTCAAGGCACTTCACACAGTAAACATCCCAATGCAGGTCTGTTCATTAGGCCAATCAGAAAAAAATGTTTCCTATATAAGGAACCCAGCAGGTTGCATCAAGTCACTGACTGATTAAAAATATCGATTTAAAAACTATGTTTAAATAATGTTCTGACAGAAAAATCTATTTTTGTATTTATAATGAAATTTCTTGCCAAAAACTTTTTAAAAAGTGTAACTAGTTCCTTTTGTGTATTTTATGTATTTTGAGGCTCTGCATGTATAAAAAAAATCTATGTTAATACTAAGAAGTTGTTATTCTAGTAAACTCTAGGAACGCTCCATTGGAGCCTCCGCGGACCCCTAGCAACATTCTGGTGGGCCAATCACTGTGCTCTATGGGCTTTGTGGGCCAATCGGTGCTCTATTGGTTTTGGTGGGCGGTATGATGCGACGGAGTGGAACAAGATGGCGACAGCTCGTTTGAAACCACTTTTACATCCATCTTGGATTATTTAAACTATTTGGCCTCTGGCTTCATTAGAATCGGGAGCGGATAGATGTATTTAAGTCCTTCACTTAGAAAAATGTCGTATTTTCACCTTCTTCAACAGCGGATTGGCTCGTTGACCGACATCCGTTGCGGTGACTATGTCACATAGTTCGTTGTCCAGTAGCATGCGGAAATCATTTGAAAGACAACGGTAGAACCCGGCCAAGAGCTGTCAATGGAGCGTAGCCAGACTACATGATATATTTATTTTGTCTGCTTTGCCAGGCTAAGAAGTTGCAGGTATCTGATAAAAATATCAGACTTCTGTTTTTTCAAAGTCAGTAACTGAGCTCTGTGGTATTAGAATCACTCTTTGGTGACACATAAATAGAAAATAGTTCATCTTTACTGGAGTCATTCTGCTGGATTTGTTTAGATTAGGAAACAAAATTCCCACATTTGTCCTTTTACGTTATTGCAGAATATGATGCAATTGTTCATATGAGAGCCAAAAGCTGTGATATTGATGCACTCTGTGTGTGTGTGTGTGTGTGTGTGTGTGTGTGTGTGTGTGTGTGTGTGTGTGTGTGTGTGTGTGTGTGTGTGTGTGTGTGTGTGTGTGTGTGTGTGTGTGTGTGTGTGTACCGTCCAATTCTTTAGCAAAACAGTATACATCAAACATCTCTTTTGGGTCTCTTTTCCCATAATTCCTCACTCCTGCAGAGAACTCCTTGTGTCCATAGCAACCAAGCTCTGGCGACTGGATGGAATAACTGCACACACAAGCACGTGGGAGTCATGAATGGGTAGGTCATACAGAAATTAACAATAACAACAAATAAAAGAAATACAGACTAACCTATCGGTTTTGTTTTAAATATTCTAAATGTCAGCTAATAATAAATTTATAGCTGAGCCCACTTTTAAAGTGCAGATCTGAATAAATTAAGAAACAATTAATTATGAAGAAACAGCTGTTCTAATAATAGCTCTACTTCCAATTGGTTAAAGCAGCAAACTAAAAAAGAAGAAACAAAAAGGTCAAGTGAAGAAAACGAAAAAATGTTGGTGAGAAGAACACAGTTGATTACAGAATAAATAAAAATGTGGGAATTTAGAAGAATGTCTTGTTGTTATTTCTGGCTGAAAAGAGTAAATCTGCTTCCATCAAACATGCAAAAGTTCACCACTGATTTCAATTATTCAACTTAAAAGGAGAAACTATTAAATAGGACAGACTTATTACATTCAAATCCAGATATTTCAGCCTTTTTTCCTTATAATTGTCAGATTGTGGCTTACAGCTTATAATAACCCCAAAATCTCAGACAATTAGAACATTCAAGTTTAATATTCTAGACTCAAAGTGTCACACTCTAATCAGCTAATGAATCCAAAACACCTGCTTCCCAGCCTTTAAACGATCTCTCAGTCTAAGTTCAATTACTAAAATAAATTGATTTTTTTCTAGTGTCACACACTGAGCTTGAGGCTCACGTAACAAACAAGTTCCCACATTCATCCGCCCCTTTTCCATTTTATTATGCAGTAAGAAGTAAATTAACAGGTGAGAAAAAAGATGACTGACAGCTCACGCTGACCAGGTAAATAAAAATATTAAAACCTTAATGAGAGTAACTCATGTTACAAGTAAACAGGGATGTTTTTATGAGCAGATTCACTAACAACTCAATGAGCGTTACACAAAGAAACCAGAAGCTAGCCGTGTCTTTACCGAACAGTCTGATCGCCCAACCATCCGGCTGAGCAGCTGGCCAACCCATCATGGTATGCTGCCCACAGCTGGGCCGGAGATGCAATCTGAGCTGAGTTTTCCTCACAGGCTCGCTGGGCGTCGCTGAATGAGAAGGCGTAGCGGGTGTCGGGTGCCTGGTAGTGAAACACCACCCCTACACACACGGAAACAAATGGAAAACTGTGGGAAAATATGTACTAATGGTTACATTAAAAGGTTAATTAAAACAAAGATTAGTCTTGGTTTAAAAGCTGTCGGTTTGTTTAAACATTAGTTGTTTTCTCTCATTAGCAGCTGCTGCACTTACCAGACACCACCAAGGGCACAGTGTCTACTTCATAGTGGTTGCCCATGGCGACCTGACAGTGGTAAGTGCCTGAGTCGTCGGTCCGGAGACTGAAGATCTCCATGGTAGCATTCAGAGGATTGGCAGCGTATCCTGGCAGCACGATGCGGCCGCTGAAAGCCTTATTCACCTTGATTACATCACCTTTGGCACAGACAGGGAGCTTTCTTTATTACAAATGTCTGCAGGCATTCTGCAGCTCTTGGAAGCAGAGCATAAACATTAAAAGATTCCTAGTAGGAAATATAAAAAACTGATTTTTCCCATAACTCTCAAGTGTGAAAAAATCTGCATGATTAGGCGTTTTAAATGTCTAATTCTTTTTCATCTTTTCTGCACAGAGCCTGCACGTTCACACCAAATCTTCACTTGCATGTGTTTTTGCATTTCTCCTGGTATGGTCTGAAAACATGCATGTTAGGTTACGCTGTGATTCTGTAGGTGTGAGTCTGTAGTTCAGTGGTTTGGCGCTTCATGTGTCTTGCAGTAACTGGGCCCAAACAGCCCTTCTCACCACAACTCCTCAGACTTAACCTGAATGTTCCTCTTGTCTCTTTCTGAGGATGTGGAACTTTTGATGCTAAATGTTCCCAGTTAGGCAGCTATTTGAACACTTGCAGTTTTAGCAATTTAGCTAAAACCAGCTGACAAATATACTCTGTGAACCAAAGCTGGATCGTTAACCAACCAACGCATCAATATATAAGGTGTCATCAAATGTTTGAAGTCAAATTTAACAGCAACACCTGATGCAATGATTTTATCCATATTATTAATAAGTAGATGCCCCATTGGGTGTTGGAGAATGTAACAGTGTTGCGCCATGTTGGGTGGGTCTCCTCACTCCCCAAACCCTACGCAGGGTGACCAACTTTGCCCATTTTTGCACCGCTTACGGTCTAACAGCTGGCGCACTGAAAGCAGATCATGTGATCACATATAGCCTACCTGTTGGATATATGTAACGTCACATAATGGCCTGGTTTTAAGACTCACAGGTCAGATACATAGCCTGGGTCACCTTGCCCTGGCTACTACTCCAATCTGCAATAGAGTCCTTCACAGGAGACTTAAAGTCTGCTACCACTCCTTTAATCCATGCAGCTGTCCGCTTATCTGACTGCTATTCCATTCACAGCAAGAAGAGGGTATTTCAAGATTTTAAAGAATTATTTAAATAAACTCTCTTTACTGCTAATCATCAAGGTTCATTATAACTGTGTTTAATTACTGAAATGAATTATTATTCTTTGGTAAATAATTATTTATGATAATCAGTAATGTTTAACTATGACAAGAATCATGTGCACTTAATCAGCTCACACAGGTCACAGTAACTAAGTTAAAGGTAACTGCACTCACATGATCTTTTCCCATAACACCAGAACTTTCTATCTTCAAGAGGGCGTGTTTCTGAGGGTTTGTTAAACTTTCCTTCTACATGTCTAAACCTGATTCGTTAGAAATGATAATAGCCATCTTTTAAAACAGAACTCTCGTCATTTGTGAGCGAGTTCTAGAGAAGTTGGGACGGCCGCCCAACGCTCTTTAACCAAACAAGCGATTTCTGTCACGCTGGCAGGAGTTGCTCCGACACAACAAAACGACACCTGCAGAACAAGCTGATGCTAAGAGATTACTTAAGAATCTGCAGGCGCAACCCAATTCCACCTGTGTGCCTGCGGCATTTCTAGGACCGGAACGAGTCGGTACCATCGGTCTTCCCTACCGGACCCAGTACCCTGAGGCTGTTCAACATCCTCCTCTGACCTCCGGATCCACGACGAGGGTCGCCTGACAGTGAGGTAGAACACAGATTGCGTCTGAGTGCTCTTTAATAAGAACAACTCAGCTTATTGACAAAACCAATTTCTTTTTCACGCAGAACGCATTGTTTCTTTAAGATACACGTTCTGATAAATGCATTCACCCGCAAACAAAACACACTTCACCTTAGATTCATCCAAACACAGGGTTTTTTGTAATACCAAAGCTTTTATAAATTGTGTTTCATAAATTGTCTTTTTAAATTGTCATGTTTAAATTGTTTAGTAATAAAATTCTTAACCTTTTAAAACTTGAATCTTTCTTGAAATAAACACAAAGTGGGTGTATATTGATCACTGAACAAGCAAAGTGTGTGTGTGTGTTTTTTTTATTTTATTACATTTATTGTTTATATTTTATGTTTTATCATGCCATACCATATGTCTGATTTTGTAAAAAAGCATAATAAAATGTGTTATTTTGTTGTGTAAGCACCTTCCTCACTAGTAATAAATGCACCAGGACCGAATGGAGACCCATACAAGACGGCGTGTGTGTAAGATGTTTGTGATTTTGTCAATTAACTGATTTGTGTTTTAATTTAACTGTGGAGTTTTCCTGTCTGAGGGCCGTGTAACTGAAGTTTTACCTTTAGCAGAAAGTACGGTCTCCTCCAGGGGAGCTCCTTGCCCTCCTGCTGGTGGTCTGCTGTGAGTCCACAGGATGTGTGGAGGCTGGACGGAGGAGCTGGTCTGGAGGGTGAAGACACAAGGGAGGACGGCTTCGCCTGCAAGCATCTGTTGGACCGTAGGAAGAGTGATCCTACGCATGTTCACTATGGAGGAGGCTGTGTCAAAAGAGAACAGAAAATGCCAGATTAGGGCAGGATGGAACCTTTTTGTTAGAAATATGATGATAATGCTTCTTTTGAGCGCTCACATTCTCTTTCATCTTTAAAACAAATTTAAACAAAATTGAATGCAAATATCAACTTTTTTTAAGTTAGGCAATAATTTTACTGAGATATCAGCATGAAAACAACCAATGGAGATTATGTTGGTCTAATCCAAATATAAAGTTTTTTTTACATTCGTCATTTGTGTACATTCTTGAAACAAAAAATTACGTTCAGCAAACACTAGTTAAGAGCCTGCTGGTTACAATAATTAAAAAATAGCAATAGCTAATATCTATATTTCAGATGTGAGGTTAAGCAAAAAATAAATAAATGCATTAATTATATTATTATTTCTAATTATATTCACTTCTTGATGTGATTTCAATTTTTACGACAACTGTAATAAAGTGGCACACTTAGAAAACTGGGCTAAATTTTATCCACAATTGTTTAAAAAGCAACTTTTTATTTCTTTTTTATTCATAATCACAACTTAGTAGAGCTCTGACACCATTCATCATTTCATTTCAGTGAATTTAGAAAGCTAAATATGAGTAATATATATTAAAACCTAACTGTCATGGTCTGCGTCTGTGTCTTCCCCATGTGTCTCCTTATGTCCTCCATCCCTCTTTAGATTCCCCTTTTGTGTCTCATAGCGCCCTCATGTGTCCTTTGTCTGCATCCATTATGTGTCTTATGTTGGTAGTCCTTTAAGTCAATTCCTCCCAGGTCCTGCGTCATCTCAATCATCCCCAGCCCCTCCAGGTCTCATTTACATTCTGTGTCCTTGTAGTCCCCAGCTTCTTTGTCCCCAGCTCGACGTGCGTGTGTGTCAGTCCCCTGCTCAGTGTTTGTGTGTGTGTGTGTGTGTGTGTGTGTGTGTGTGTGTGTGTGTGTGTGTGTGTGTGTGTGTGTGTAGTGTCCTGCTCTGGTTCTCTGTGTGTGTGTGTGTGTGTCTGTGTGTCTGTGTGTGTGTGCGTACGTGTGTGTGTGTGTGTGTGTGTGTGTGTGTGTGTGTGTGTGTGTGTGTGTGTGTGTGTGTGTGTGTGTGTGTGTGTGTGTGTGTGTGTGCTTGTCCATTCCCCATTCCTGTTTATATTAGTGCATTTGTGTGTGTGATGGTGTGTGTGTGTGTGTTAGTCCTTCCCGCAGCCTTTAGGTTTAGTTTTGTGTTTTAGTTTTCTGGGTTTATTTGGCCCTCCTCTGTTTCTGTTTGCCCATGTTGATCATTAGATTCACCTGTCTTCCCTCCAGCTCTCACTTCACACACCTGCCGCCATTTTCCCTAATCACTTATCCCTGTGTATATAAGCCCTGTCTTGTCTGTGTCTGGTGTTGGTTCATTGTTGTTTGTTTGTCAGCGTTGTTTAGTGCTCTGTGTGAGCTTCCGTTCCTGTCCCCAGTTTGATATCCAATTGAGTTTTTTTTTCAGCTTTCTGGGTTTTTGGATTTTGGCTCCCTGCCCTCTTGGATTTATTTTTTGTTTTACCCCTACAAATAAAAGTATTTTACTTTATATCAACTCCTGCCTCCGTGTCATCCTGGGTTACTGCATTTTTGGGTCCAAACCATCCTTTCAACGTGACACTAACACAATTGAGGAAATTGTAAAAAAAAAAAAAAAGCCTTGTTGGGAGTTTTACACGTGATAGAAACACACACACACACACACACACACACACACACACACACACACAGAGCAGCTCTGTGAGCTGATGATGCTCCTGTTGCCTCACTTCAAATCACACACAATCTCAGAAATCACAACAGCAGAGAGGAAACAGACGGTCAGAGCAACGGAGCCGATGAAGGACCAGAGCTAATCCAAGAGATTTACAGAGGTAGTTTGGATTATAAGTACAGCGAGTAGCAGGAAAACAGGAAGAGACACAAATAATACTAGAGAATCTGATACACCCACCCAGAGTACATAAAGCTTTAAAACAAAAAAAAATTCATTATGGTTTTTAAGGCATAAACTTACCAACTATAAACAGTTAACCAAAGCTTACCTTGTAAAAGAGGTATTAACTTTATAGTTTTAATAAACAGTTTAAAAATATTGATTATACACAAAACATGGCTTATATTACAGTAACTAATTTACAAACTGTTTTACAAATACCTGTTAATGGTTTCTAAACGGTTTAAAGCTGATTAACATAATGACCTGTTTATGACTCATTTAAACTGTTAACATAAAAAGTCAGAGATGTGCAGATAGTTTAAATGAATTATAAAACAGAATTCTTAAGTTTCTGGAAACTTTGGATAATAAAATACATTTGATAACTTTTAAAAGTCTTTTTGATTTGGTTTGAGAACCTTTCTTTGTCCAAATCTTTCAGATCCAGTTCTTGTCCAATAACTGAACTTTTGTTCATGTTCAGATGAAAAACTCAGGCTTGTTTAGGTGAAGTTTGATAAACAATTGTGCCTCCAGTCTGCTGCCTATTAACCCTAATTTACAGCAACATGTTGCTCCAGTTGTTTCCTTGTAAAACGACTCACTGTTCTAATAATTTGTTGCACATGTTGCAACACCTTTGTATCCGTTTAGGAGACATAGTTTTAATTTAATGGTCTTGTGTCGGAAAATGGAAGATTGCTTTCTCAAGATCAGAGACGAGGTCCTGGATCAAGTGGAGGAGTTTAAGTATCTCAGGGTCTTGTTTATGAGTAAGGGAAAGATGGGGCATGAAATCGACAGGTGGATTGGTGTTGCGTCTGCAGTGATGGAGGCGTTGTACCGGTCTGTTGTGGTGAAGAGAGAGCTGATGGAAAGCTCTCGATTTACCAGTTGATCTAAGTTCAAACCTCATCTATGGTCACGAGTTTTGGGTAATGACCAAAGGAACGAGTTTGCGGATACAAGCGATTGAAATGAGATTCCTCCGCAGGGTGTCTGGGCTCTCCCTTAGAGAAAAGCTCAATCATCCGGGAAGGGGCTCGGAGTAGAGTCACTGCTCCTACTCATTGAGAGGAGCTGGTTAAGATGTCGTGGGCATCTGGTTAGAACATGTCCAACCGAGAGGAGACCAAAAGGAAGATGCAGGACACAATGAAGGGACTATGTCCCTCGGCTGGCCAGGGAATACCTTGGGATTCCCTTGGAGGAGATTGCCCAAGTAGCTGGGGAGAGGGAAGTCTGGGCCTCTCTGCTTAGGCTGCTGCCCCAACGACCCGACTCTGTATGATTGGAAGGGAATGGATGGATGGATGGATGGATGGATGGATGGAAAGATAGACGGACAGACAGACAGACAGATCGATAGATAGATAGATAGATAGATAGATAGATAGATAGATAGATAGATAGATAGATAGATAGATAGATAGATAGATAGATAGATAGATAGATAGATAGATAGATAGATAGATAGATAGATAGATAGATAGATAGATAGATAGATAGATAGATAGATAGATAGATAGATAGATAGATAGATAGATAGATAGATAGATAGATAGATAGATAGATAGATAGATAGATAGATAGATAGATAGATAGATAGATAGATAGATAGATAGATAGATAGATAGATAGATAGATAGATAGATAGATAGATAGATAGATAGATAGATAGATGGATGGATGGAATACACTTATTTAACAAACAAACCTGATTTTATTTGTTTGGTTGACATTTTGAAGCCATTGTCCATTTAGCAGCGACCTAATCAACGTCTCACTTTAAGAATCATTCTTTGTTCTTTGACTTTTGTCCTTCAGGAAGACAAGTTAACCAAACTCAGATTGGCTGCATGAAGAATGGTTGTTCAGGTAAAGCAGTGATTAAATTCAAACCTGTGATAAAGTAGCCGCGCTGACGCTGTTCTGGCACGTTAGTATCTTTGTTTCATAATGAGGAATTTTAAACCAATCTGTAGTGGAACAGATGTTTGACTCAATAAATTCCTTTGGAGGCGCTCCAGTCTCCGTCCCTCTGAGCTTTTCTACAAATATCCTCAGCATGACTGATCTTGCAGCATTCACATTAATACAAACACATTTTGTTTATTGTATGTGAGGAAGAACTGAAGAGATTGTTTTGTATTCTTATCCATTTCCTCCAGTTCTGCGCTGTTTTCCCTCCCCCTGCTTGTCGTCCCACACCTCGTCCTCACTCTCCTCCGTGCACACGTCACCTTTTACCTCTTGCTGCCGTTGATGCCTCTAAGCTTGCTGATGAGGTTCTGCTGATACTGGTGAGGGAAGGAATTTAGACGTGCAGTGGGTAGACTCACCTAAACCTGAAGCGAGCAACAGGAGAAGCGTGAGAGCAAAGAGGATCTGGCGCTCAGCTGCACATCGAGTCAGCTCCATCCTCTTCCTGCTGAGAAGAAAACAGAGAGGACTGATGAGATGGAGCTGAGTAGAAGCATGGAGATAACAAGAGATGAAAAAAAGTTTAGGTGCACAACTTGGATAATTTTGTTGTTACGTTGTGTGTCAAAACACAGATAATACCACGGTTTTACATGCTTCGTGCCACAACCTTACAAATGAATGAGTCCAGAGTTCTGAAAATAAAACTTCATTTGCTAAACAGGTACTGAGCTAGGGTCAGGTCTAATGTCAGGTGAGCGTAGAGCCACAGGGATGAAAGATCCTGCACTGTAAACAGACATCAGTTGAGTTTTTGCTTGGCATTTTCAAGGCAGTGAAACATACCTCACACTGTTGTAGCTGTAAACTGTTTGGCACTCAATAAAACTGCGACCTTTGACCTTTTCTCTTCCTAGAGGTGGTTTTGCCCACTTTCCGCTCACCCACCTGAGCTGCAGCAAACTCACTGATACAGACTTTAGCTTCGAGGACAAATACAAACTCTTTCACCAGTTACCAAAATGTCAGATGGGAATAACGACAAAACAGACTACATCTAAAAGTTCTGCACAAATGCCGCTGCAATCTGGAAAGTTTCACTTTTTTACAGAAAAGAGTCGTTCTGCTGCATCTGTGCTGCACAACAGCCACACATCAAAAAGGAGCGGCTGACTTTTGCCGAGGATTTGGCTTGATGCCTGAAGCGTTACAGTTCAGTGGAGAGATGCCTGAGATGGAGCGTGTTTCAAACTGGGATGAAGAAGAGCGTTTGAGGATTGAAGAAAACACAGGGTGGTCTTATTTTGCTTTAAAAAAAAGAAACATGCAACACAAAGACATTCAAAGCATTTATTTGCTCGTGGACAAGACTTGACTTTGCAGCCCAAGCTCAACCGGAAGAATCTTTAAGTTTAAGCAGAAACTTGCTGTCTTGATTTTAGTTACGTAAACTGAAAAGTGTGGCCAAAACATGCTTTTTTGCATTCACCAAGGTAACAGCAGCCTCTGCCAAATGCAGTGAAAGAAGATTATGCAACAGCAGCGCTACCCTTTTTTTTTAATGAGCAGAATAATGGCAGCTCTCTTTCCCGACCATGTGAAAGCTCTGTAAATCTGGAGTGTGTGAGTCAAAGGAAGGCAATCCTCCGCCAAACTATACAGACATTAAACAACAATTTGTTGTGCAGGTGTTAATAGTGGGCAGCCTTGGAGATGGAGGTTCTGGTGTTATTACGGCACTGCTGCGGCCACACACGGTGCAGCATCCCATTTCTAAATGTGGGTTAGGACCTTGTGAGGGGCTGTGACAGATCGGGGTCGTATGGTTGGACTCTTTGCATATAGAATCCCCGCACCCTTGGTTTATTGCATTGGTTGACTGACAAGGGATTTCTAAAGGCTTAGAAAGAGGCAAAACAACAAGAAGTTTACCTAAACTTGCCATCAAAGAGCATTAGAGTTTTGTATGTGCGACCCTGGGATTGGCAGGGAGCCACCAGCAGGTAAGAGAACCAGAGATGGTTTCATGGACGATATGTTCCATTCATCGTGCTCAGCGACAGCAGCCACTCAAAGTTTTACCCGAGGGGATTTACAACACATTGTCACGCAATCACACCAACAGAATACTAACCAGTGCCGCCTTTTGTTCAGGACGAGGCATCAGATGTTGGGAACGCCTCCCTCTAAACGGCCCCCGCTCGCCCTCTCGGGCACAGTTGTGTCTCAAATAGAAAAGAACCAGAAGTCTCTAAAATGCTTCAGTGGACTTCAATGCGGATGTACGTCTGACACATTTTCAAGATGTCGCATGAATAAGATGCATTCTTGGCTCTTTGTGAGAGCGAGAGAACAGAATGACTGAGATGCAAAGGGAGCTAACGGCCGAGGCTGGCAGACCTACATTACAGCAGCACTAAGCTGTCACTTGACGAAACCAACCTCGTGCCCATCAGGATGAGGGGAAAACGGGGCCTTTCCAGCCTTCAACCAACTTCTCCAACCTGACTGCAGGTGGAAGGAAAATGGTTCATGCAAAAGCAGAAGATTGTTTCAAAGCATCAAAACAAGGAAATAACTGCAAAAACTTTGTAACATGTAAAAACGGGCAAAAACGTCAGAAAAAGAAAAAGTATTAGACATTTTTCACCCTTCTAGTGCTGAAACCTAACAGAGAATGGGAATTCATCTTTTTTACCTTCTTCTTTAATCATATCTCACAAAACTATTACCTCCAGAGAGCAGCGGTGTGAACATCAAAATAACAGCTCCAGATAAGTGACAGACTAAGTAGTGTGGGCAGGATTGACGGAAGACGGGTAAAAAGAAGGTCATCTTATCAACATTTTTTAAATAGTAACACTGGAAGCTTTACAGAAAGGCTGCTGTCTAAGTCCTCTTAATCGGCTTTATGCAATGGGGAAAAAGAAAATGCTGCAGGTGCTGAATATGTGGCTGAAATTTAAAACTTTTTTTCTTCTTGTTGCAGGGTGGTTGCATAGAAACAAGTTTCATGTTTTATTCCAAAGACAAAAAAAGGAAATCGGTGAGGTTTGTTTTCAGGGTCATTAAAGAGATCGTAAAACTGTGAGCTCTGAAAGCCCCAAAAATGTTGCAGAGAGGGGCGTAGGCTGCAGAGGGAAGGTGGAATCAGGTATTCATTTCATGCACACACAGAGATTGTCTGTGTTTGGTGTGCCAGCTTGGTGACTAAACACTCTCAAAGCAACAAATGACTCATGTAGTTCTGGCTTAGGATTCAGGTGGAGAGAAGACTAAAAAAGCTGCTCAATCTTCCAGTTAGAGACCCATTCTCGATCTTGTTGGACACGCGGGCAGCTAATCTACCGTGACATGTCCTGGATGCACCGAGATAAACTCTGATTGGTGTGTGTTACAGAGGACAAGGAAAAGGCAATTTAGGTCCTAAAACGCCTAGTGGAGAACCTCTTTGGGTCACTTCCTCAATTTGTGGCGACTTCTTTTAAAGTTGGATGTCAACCCAAACAACTTTTGTCTTGTTTTGTTAATTATTCAGGTGGAAAACATGCATTAAGCACCCAGGAGGAAAAGATGTTTAATGCATGTAAAACCAATACCTGAGGAAGATTGACAGCTTTTAGAACAGCCATCTGTTTCCCACCTTTCTGAAGTGCCATTAAGCTGCAGCAGAGCGACACTCAGCAGACCTGCAGCAGATGATTTCTGCTTACTTTCCCTCTCCAGCTCTTCATTTTCTGCCATTTTATTTTGGCACAGCTTTTGTTGTTGCTTTTGTTCTGCGTGCATGTGTAGGTTTGGTCATGTAGGACTCGGCATGTGTGAGTCAGCTAAGAGCTAGACAAATCAAAACCAGAGGAAAATAATCTATTTCACTTGTTTTAATTAACAGGATGGTACATTATTCACTCGCCACTAAAGAACAGAGGGTTTTCACATAACTTTCAGAGAAATTAGAAAGCAGACTTGGAGGAGTTAATCAGCTCTTGTCTCTGCAAACAATCAGAAAAGGGGTTCAACTTTATAAAAAAAATATCTAAAAGGACTTTTTTTCCCATTTCTGTTGGTTTGAATGTCTTAAAAAATAAATAATGATTAACATTTTGTCCTTAGAGTCTGAAGGACTCATTGTTTGTGACATTTGAAGCTCCCTGCTCCACATAAGTAAGCGATTCATCTGGCATCGAAGCAACAAACAGCAGTTTCTGGATGGGATGAATGCAGTGAGAAGACTACAGATTAGCCTCTCTGCACTACGGGAGGGACTGACATATCTTTTTTTTTCCCCGAGTGAATTTATTGGTCTGCTTTGATTGTTTAGTGAAAATCAATTCTCCTCCCTTCAAATTAGTCAGAGTGGATTCAATGTGTGACTGAATGTTAAAGAAAAAAGGCCAGCCTTGTCTCCAAGTGTGCATAGTTTTATTCAGATCTGCTATGTTTGTGTCTGAAAATAAGATTTTTGTCACAAGATAACTTTCTGTATTATTGTTGCCTAGGTAACCTTGCTGCGTTGAGTCAGTCAGTGATATCCTTGGGTGCCATTGATAGTTGCATCACTTTAAAAAGAGAACGATTAATTCAACTTAGTCACTGACTTTTAGTTTCGTTATTCACAGTTGTATCTGGAGATGCACAACTGCTGGTAAAAAAAAGAGTAAACGATTGAAAGTATAAAGCAACATGATGGTATAAGGGTCAGAGGGCAAGCAGCGTGTGTCTTTTAGTGTTGTGTCTACAGTGGCTAATTCAGTGGGGGTCAGAGGTTATAATCCAGATGCCAGCTCTTGGAAACAAAGCCAATGAAGGATCAGGTGCAGAAGGAACAGCAATTACTTAATACATTAACCATATGGCTCCACACATTCAGTCTCTCCACTCAAAACAATTTCTACAGGGACCAAATTTTAACTTACAGAAAGAAAGAAGTGAGCAGCAGTGAAATGAAATGGAATAATGGGCCCAAACATGGACATGCTGTTTGGAATTTGTCCAAGAACTCCTCATCTAACGATGCACTGTCTCAGTGGCATACAAACAAAGTGAGGATGAAAGAAGGAAAAACAGTCCTTGAAGAGTTTATCACCAACACCGAATGCTCAAATAATCAGAAACATCTGTTTGTGCTAAAATCAGCACCTAATGATAAGCAGCTGGGATCGTGTGCCTCAAACAGGATGGTGACGTTAAGAGACATAAGTGCAACGACTGCTAAATATACAGAAAGTGGTTATTTTTAATCCTCGTGCTGCAGAAGCTGATTTGGTGCAGCCTTAAGGAACCTTTTCTTATTCAACTGTGAAGCTAAACATTTACCTTCCACCAGACCTTCAAGGAGAGCCCCAGGCCAAAGACAAAGAGGAAGACTTCTCTCTTTGTGTGGGTGAGCTGTTCAGATGTGGTCTCATCCATTCCTCTAATGATTGGCCTGGTGGGCCACTTTAGTCCCTCCCCAGCTTTACACTGAAACTGACTGATGGACCGGTGCACCCAATCCCCTTTGGGTTTTGTGCGCCTAAAGGTTTTCTGTCTTCTGTAGTGCAGCGTAGAGGCAGAGATTTAAAAGAAGTCCCCATCATGCCCTCTATTTGCAGCTGGATTAGTAGAGTTTGATATTTGGGAGCTGTCCAGTGCTGAAAACAGAAATGGTCCTTATCCATCAACAGTGAAGTGATTGTTAGTATAAAATATGTTTCCTTTTTTATTTTAAATGAACCACAAAAGTCAAAACGATCCTTAAACTTCCCCTTTGGTTCACAGTATGATTCACAGATGCATCAGCAGTAAGAAATAACTGCACTGTACAACCATGCTTGCTACATTCGTCAATGAACCAAACAAAATATTTACATTTTGAAGTCGGTATGCTCGTAAAGCAGCGAGTCTGGAGCACTCTCAAAGGTGAAGCTTATTTTGATCCTAACTTGGCTGCTTTAAGAGAGCCCTGCTACTCATTTGCATTTATATAGCCCCATTCTAGTGGCTATTAACACTGTATTAAGGGTGGAATAGATTCTATAATCGCCTAAGTGACATATTAAAGCCAGCACTTTCTAACCATGGAGAATATCAAACCCTAACTCAGAGTTATCCTTTGCTTCTGCCAAAAACACGCCCTTATGTACAAACCTGCACGCTCCAACGGGCCTAAACTGTCTCTGTAAGTTAATGAAATCCATTATAAATAATGAAAAACGATCAGATATTTTCCCTCCAGTCTATAACGACCCTCTCAAAGATGTTTAATTTGCTATTTTAGGTTTAACAGCTGCTGGTTTTGGCCGGTCAATACTTTGCTAAGTTATTTGCTTTGCATTTTATTTTTTATTCATTTGCTTTATTTATCCATAAAATTCAGAAAAAAATGGTGAAAACTGTTTTCGTGTTGTTTGTTTTTGCCTTTGGGATACTCACAAGAAAAGGCAAGGCCACAACTGATAGTAAAGTATCTCCGTTTATGTTCAAAGGACACTTCCAGCTAACGTAGTTCTCGTTTCTTCATGTCAGATATGTGCCCCCGAATCAGCAGGGAATGTATGGGATTGATAAACCAAACGTTAATGATTGTTTCTGCTAATTCTTTCCGACAAATCCTTATCGGCGGGTTAAAGCTGCACATGAATGTGAAATCAACACTGTTCATCAAAACCAGAACTTCAAATCAATTAACACACTTCATGCTGACTCAAAGTGGTCCAGAGGCATACGTAATAAACTAAAGCAGGCGGGACGTGTTCACAGTGAGCAGCTGACATGAGCCTGCACTCTAGAAACAGACCCTTTCTTCCTCGCATGCTGCTCTCTGATCCTTCTGCCTGCATGAGTCCACATTAACATGCGTGCAACTACAGTGTGCAGGCAAGGTCCCAACACACACACCCCCTCTGCAACACACACACACACACACACACACACACACACACACACACACACACACACACACACAGTGAGAGAAGGAGATAGCCCAGGACAGAATAAAAAATGCATCTTGCTGTAAACTTTCATCTTGGCCTCTCCTGCCTCATTCCTTCATATTCTCTGTCACCCCACAGCAGCTACCTCCCTATGCTCGGTGTCACCTCCTCACAAGCGTACATTTCCTGAGCTCCAGCTCCTCTACAAAGTGCTGTTTCCTGGTTAACCTGGTCCTGCTTTGTGCCAACTGACACACAGCTGGTGGTGGGCATACTAACAAGCAGGAAGAAGAAAAGACTTGGACTCCCCCACAAGCAGAAAGAGAATACGCTTTATTGGACAACACTGGCTCTCAATATTCTCAGACAATACAGCTCATTTGTCAAGGTGACCCAAACTGTTCTCCTCTTTCACTGTGATTAGTACACACCAGTGTTTGTTTATAGAGTGGGCATCCATCAGAGAGCTTGTCTCCAGCTCAGCACCATGAAATCAGTCTTTCAGCTCACTTTTTCTTTCTCATAAAAATTGAACCAGTGCAAAGTTGCACTGACAATAGCTACGTGAAGCAGCAAAGAGATCTGGCGATTAGCAGTAATCCAGTTTTAATTGAGTATCTTTGATGTCAGGCCCAAGTGACAGCTCTGAGGAAAGATCAATAGCATCTGACTTTTCAACACATGGTGTCTGTTCACCAAATTTACACCACAGATTTGACAAACACCTCAAAGGTTAGATTCTGCCTGCGCACGCCAAAAAAAAGTCACCCATGCTTTAAACTGTTGTGAAATTTAAAGGAAATTTAAATGCATGTGTGCTAAAAACAGACACACTGATAAGGTTGATGAATTATGCATGAGCATGCACGTGCCATAAACATAGACTACTATTAAAAGCTTTGACCTGTAAATAATTTAAAATATCCCAAACAGCTCGTTTGTGTCGAGGAGCTCCACGGGAAAATGACTTGCTTTTATTTATTGCTAATGATCATTAGATCTGGCGCGCATGTGGAATGTGAGGAGAAAAATCCAAAATTGCAAGTTTTTTTGTCCGAGTTCCATGAAAAGTGCATCTATTTTAGTTGCAGCCAAGACATTTGATCCTTAAAAATAATAACACCCCAGTGGATGTGCGGTGTCAGGCGCCTCCGGCCACCCGAAGGCTTGAGCAATGACACACTGACCAAATGACTGATTTCATTCAGCATGCAAGCGGAGGCGGCTGTTTTCTCTTACCGTATCAGAGACTAAACGTTAATGCAATCCTCAGGAATGTCAGAGAAGGATTTGCGCGTCGGTGCAGGTGGTGAGCTCCCGGAGGGTGCAGAGACGGTGAACGGAGGGTGAAACTGCACTTTGCAGAGGCAGAAACCCCGGCTGGAGTGCGCGCACCCACGCTCCAGGGACCTTTATTTGTTCGGACTCACTCTTTCCTCTTTCCTCAAAATTATCATCCTCTGTTTTAGCAGCAGTTCATGTCATCCAGCCAAATACACTGATATGTGTCAGATTAGAAAGGTGCGCACACACAAGCACAAAGAGAGCCTCTCGTGCACACGCTCAGAGAGATGGAGTCATAGGTGCTTCGTCCGTCCCCCTCCACACCAGCAGCTCCCAGGGAGAGAGGCAGGATCGGGCTGAACAAAGAGGCAGACGCAGCGCCCCAGATGGGGGGGGGGGGGGGGGGGGGGGCATATGGGGGGGACTTTATGACACCATAATCCGATTCATGCACAAACCTCAAATCTGTGCGTAAAACTGCAAACCACTCAGCTTACATCATCAGACTCCTAAATGTTTCCACAAATCTCCATGGAGACCCAATCACAGACAGTCTCATTTAACCTCCAGCTTTTCAGTCAAATCAGTCAAACTAAAGACCATGTTGGGTATTTCTGTGAATTTTTTTTCTGTTGCTGAGGCAGATTTACCAAAAACACAGCTGCCTCAGAATCCACCAACATGGTATTATTGCTGAAGGGTCGTTAAACACCAGCAGCTTCATTCATTTCAACATGAAGACAGAATAAACACTGGCGTTTATGTGACTCCACTCGTGTGACAACAACTTCTCTTTGTTTATTTATGTCTACAGTTTCTCAGATGGCTTTAAATGATTGGATGAATGATGGGGGACAGCAGTAGCAGGAGGTAGAGCAGGTTGTCCTGTAACAGAAAGGTTGCAGGTTCAATCCCACTACCAGAGAATGCTGCTGTTGTGTCCTTGGGCAAGACGCTAACCCCCCCCCCCCCCCCCCCCCCCCAATACCCGCCGGAGGTGGTCGGAGGGACCGGGCGCCAGTGTTCAGCTGTATAGAAGGTGCTATACAAGTACGTGCCATTTAATGATGAACATTTTGTCTTAAAAAAGACTTTAATTTTGAATCATAATAAAGTCCTCAGATCACTGTGATCTGAGGACTTTATTGGATTTTGTTTAACTAGTTTTACTTCTTTGTTTAATAAATTTGAGTTGTGGAGAATTGAAGTATTTTTGTTAAGCTGGAAAGTCAGAAAACAAACACGTCTTAGAAAAGTCCTTTATTTAGAAACCATAGTTCCCACCCCACGACTGAGCTCTGACTCTGTCTCATGGCCAGACTATATATTCACTTAAAGAGCAAGTCACCCCCAAATCAACTTTTTTTTGCTGATAAACTATATAAATGTGTGTCTAATCATGCTGCAGACATGTGTGGTCAATAATTTGGTACTTCACTGCATTTTAGTTAAAATTTAAATATTCTGCCTAAAACTGTCAGTGTTGCACCGTCGTCGGGTAAAAACTCTGCACTGCATTGGAATTTAAATCTGCCACCGCTGTTGGCTAAGAGGTATGCTATGATGTAAACTGGTACATTATGATGTCACAATGCCGTTGTGAGCCTGTGTGTGTGTGTATTTGTTAGCGGCTCCGCCCTCTCTCTCTCTGCTAGGCAACAGCATTTGTTGCATTTTTCAAACAGGAAGTGAGAGTTGATAAAGAATCTAATAGGGGTGACTTGCTCTTTAAGTAGCATGGCTTGCCAGGCAAAACCTTACAGCTGTGAACCTAGATCTCAGTTTGGGTTTGAAGGAAAACATTTTTTTTCCTTTCTGATAAAGCCTTTAGTCAGGATTGGTTCAGGTGAAATCTGATGGGCATCAAAAAATATAGGACAACAAAAAATATGACATACTCACCGCCACGGATGTCAGTCGAAGCAGACATCATTGGAGAAGATGCAAAAACATTTATTGTATAAATAAACGACTTAAGTACCTCTATTTGCTCCTCACTCAAAGAAAAGCTCAAGTTTAAACAGTCCAAAGCAGTTTCAAATGAACCAACGCCATCTTGTTCCACTCCATTGCATCATTATACCCACCATACTGATAAGAGTGCTGTGATTGGCAGGGCACGAGACTGTTAAGATCTGCTGAGGCTCCCATGGGGCGCCGCGTGACTAGACCAACGTGCAGGGCAGAATGATTTAGCTTCGGCTCCTGTCCATCTAGTGTTCTCCTGCTTTTTGGTTCTTTCATCAGTCCAAGTCTCTAACTTCTGCTTGATGTAAAGTAAAAGCCGCACCAAGATTACCAGAACATAGGACCTTGGGGGGTGGACAAGTCAGGGAGTGCGGGTATGGACCCCATTTACGCATTCCTGTGGCAACCTGCCCCCCAATTTTATTTGCAACTTAAACACTTCCACCAATGACATTCCACGCAAACACACACTTAGGGCCTTGGGAGTGAGCACATTCAACAGTAGTTGGCAGGGGGATTTCTCAGCCTCATCCCGAGTGCCGGTGCCCACTTCCAATTTTAAAGTGCACTTAGACACTGAGGGCTGCTGGTGCAAATGGGGTGGTGTGGTGGAATCAGCTGGCGTAGGCCAGACAATGCCCGCACTGCCCGCTCACCACAGCCATGGAATACACCTCATCAACACTCACTAACACTATATTGGAGCAGGCGGAGGGAGACTAGGGGTCTTAGCACACCTTGTTGTCACTTGGCTTCCCGGGGCTGGAGGCTAGGAGGGAGATCTGGCCGTCTGGTTGGGGTCTGGGGTGGTGGGTTGCTGTGCTCAGCGTTGGGCGGGGGAGCCTGCTCATCAGCACCCCAGCAGAAAGGGTCAAACTCTGGGAACCGGTGATGGTTGTGCCCCATGTGCAGCAGTACCGGGACCAGAGTGAATAGGGTGTGTATGGGGAGTATGAGTGAGTGTCCGTCATGCATTTTTGTAGTCTTTGGTTGTATGTGTATGTGTGAGCATGAGGGAGGGAGTGTATGACTGTGTTTGTGTATGACTGTAAATGTCAGGTGGGGCCTTTGACTCCTCCCTTCTCCTGGGACTTCTTTTGATTATATAGATCTTTGTCTCCCCTCCCCCTGCCACACCTGGTGTGGAGTGCGGTGCCTTGGTCTGCCTGAATGTTCATGGCTCCCGGGTCAGGGGGTTTAAGATTTTTGGCGTTTGCCTGATCAATCCCGGTGGCTGCCTGGTGGGATCTGTGTCCCGGGTCGCTGGGTCCCGGGCTCGGCCGGCTAGGGGGTGGGAGGCTGCGTGCGGGCCTGCGGGCTTGCCACTAATATCTTCCGGGACTCTGCCGGCTGCTGGTTGTGGCCACCCGGGGCGGGCGATCCTCTGTGCCTCTCCGGGGGGTGGGGGGTGGGGGGGGGGGGCTTTCTGGTGGCAGTCTTCTTGGGATTCCTGTGTTCTGGGGCAGCGCCTGGATCTCTGGTTTTTGGAGCTCCCTCCGTCTCCTACACATCTTTGGGGGGCAGATCCGTGGCCCTCACTCTCTATTGGACGCTTTTATAGAGAAACCTTACATAAACAAATGCATGTACACACACAGGTGCTCATATGGTGCTCTCATAAGTATGGGCTTGGGCAAATTCAACACATGTCTTAAGGCTGTCATTGCCACTAAATGCACTATGATTAATTATCGTGTGATTGTTCAGTTAAACAATGTTGATTGTATATTTTTTCAAGTTGACGCAGTGATAGCTTGCTCCTGTTGCTCCAGACTCTTGTTCATTATTGTTTATTTTTGTGGAACATCCTGTCATGTGTCACTTTCTGCTGCAGCTGATTTTTCAGTGATCCAAGCACTTCTGGGCTTTTTTTTGCCCCAAGTTCGGCTAGCAAGGCATTCAACCCTACCATAGACCATTGCAAATTGTAATGGTTGTTACGTAGTGTATTTTTGTGGGGGGGGTAATTATGATCAATAAGATGTGATGATTCTATATGAATAAAATATCAACCTGACTGATCTTTGAATGTTCAACCAGAAGAATTTAGGATTCTTTGATTATTCAGGGACCATAAACACACTTCGTATTAATTCAGACAGAGTCAAGTATATAATTAAAAATAAACTTTATTTTCTAGACTAATTATAATACATGACAAGTGATGAAACGATGTGTGATGGGATTGATTGTGACGTGTGAATGGAATCTGGTGAAGTGTGATCAGAACCTTTGTATCTGAAAGAAACTGTGAGTTCTGAGTGTGAATGAATTTGGTCTGTTATAACTAGAGAGTTGATTCATTAATTAAACAACATCTTGCTGTGTCTACGTACCCCAAAATGGAGACTCTCTTTTGGATCCGAGATGTGGGTGGGTCGGCTGACCCCAAGGCACTGAAGGTCGTAGATTACCCGCAATGCAACCAAGTCAGTCCAGAGTCATCTCCAGGTCATGACAAGCAGGTGGACTCGTTTTGCATCTCAGGCGGACTCTTAAGGAGTTTTGCTGTGTCAGCTTTGCAGCATGCAAAAAGGTTTTGACTGTATGTCAGAGAGATGTTTCAAAGAGGCTGGTCCCAGATTGGCCACTCCGGAGTCTCAGCTGGAAACAAACTTAAGCCTAGTTTATGCTTCTCCATCAGCTCCGCAAGGGACAGACACGGATGGACACGCACGGATTGACGGAGGCGTTTTGCTCTCATACTTCTCCGTTTGCGACTAGCCATATGTTTGACATTTAAAATAAGTGTGTCATGTGTGTTAAGTTGTGGTTATGTTCTGTTTAATAACACTCATTGCTGCTGTTTGCATTTTCAGGACATAATTTGGAGAAGGATAAGCTTATCTTCAATTGGCCTTTCCAGAGCCCGGCGTGTCATTGAGAACAGCTTTGGGATCCTAGCAGCACGTTGGCGAATTCTTGGGCGGGCCATCGAGTTCCACCCAGATAAAGCGGTCAAGGTTGTGAAGGCGTGTGTGGTTCTCCACAACTACCTGGCATACAGTGACAATGCGAACACACCAGAGAGCCGATACATCCCACCCACTTTCGCTGACAGCGACTCGGCAGGAGTGGTGCACCCTGGAGATTGGCGGAGAATGGTGGACGGTGACTCCAGTCTGCTACCGGTCAACGCAAAGATGATGAGCAACAGCCACTCAAACAGGAATGCCATTTGTGTGAGGAGTGAACTGGCACAATTCTTTTTGTCACCAGCAGGAGCTGTGTCCTGGCAGGAGGAGACTGTGTCACGTGGCACACTCACAGACTAGATGTTGTCCATCGTAATCAGTGCCTGCTGGTAGTGTTCTGTTTTCTTTTTTTTTTATGTTTACCAGGTCCATTTTCTGGTGCTTTGTTAACTGATGTTTA